AAAAAAAAGTTAAACTAAAAGTTCTTAAAACTAGAAAAAGTTATAGGCTAGATTAGTGTAAAAGTGTATAAAGTAAACTTACTTAATTTAAAAAAGTTTATCTAGTATTCTATGTCTTACTTTTAAAGCTATATACCTAGAAAAGGCGTCTTAAGTTATAATTAAAACTAATTATAAACACTCTACACACTATAGAAAATAATGTGTACTATGTAAAAAAAATACTTAACTAAAAATAAAATTTAGTTAGAGTATAAAAATATTTTATAAAATAAAAAAGTTATTTCTTTAAAAAAAACTTATAAAAACTTAGACTTAATATTAGCTTAAACGCATTAAAAGTGTTTTAAAAAAGTAAAAAAAATATATAGTAAAAGATTAAATTATGCTAGTTTAGGTTAAACTTTTTAAAAAAAAAAAGTAACTTAATAAATTAAGTATAGCTACCTTTACCTTATTTTTTCTTTACTTAAAGTTTTTTAATAAAAAGTGTTTAATAGCGCTATAAAAATAAAAAAACAACATAGCTTATTTAAACCTAAATTTTTTTATTTAGACTAAGTAAAGCTATTTTAGCATAGAATAGCTTACTAAAGTTAAAAAAAGAGTTATTTTAACCTAGAGAAATTTATTATGTAAAAGAAATAAATATTCTAGCCTAAAATAACTTATACTAGAAAAAAAAGGCAGAGTTTAAGTCTAGCAGAACATTCTAAGATTTTTAAAATAAAAGAGCTATAAAGTAAGTAAGCTAGAGGTAAATTAATTTAGTACTACTAAAATAGTTACACTTTAAGTCTAAAAGATATAATGTAAAAGTATTTAACTTTATTTAAAAAAAAAAGCTTAAGCTAAAGAATCTAAAACTACACTATACTATACATTCTTAACTATTTTTACTATAGAATGCGCTAGATTACGCTAGATTGTGCTATTAGAGCCTTAGATTAGACATTAAGATCCTTTATAAGTAAATTTATAACAGTAGAACAACTATTAAGATATTTTTTATTATACCTAGTTAGCTACCTCTTTTTAGCTAAAGTTTAATTCTAACTAGCCTTATTCTTAATATTATTAGCTTTATTATGCTTTTTAAAGACGTAGTAGATTACATTAGCAGCTTTAGCAGTATTAATATAATAATGTTGCTTAGCTTTAGTAACATAAACACTTTTAACACTATATTTTTTCTATTATACTAGTAAGCGCTAGAATAGCTAAGAATAGCGCACACTTACTTTTTTAAATAAAGTTATTATAGCTTTATCTTTATTAGAGTTCTTTTTAAGCGCCTTACACTTTTTCTTCTCTTTCTTAGTAATATTAGCTTTAAAGTAGGCGCACTTCTTAAAAATAACTCTAGTCTTAGTAATTTTACCAATAACGCTACTGTGCGTGTATAAATAGTTATTATATTAAATTTTATCTTTGCTGTAAACTATTAAGAGCTAGAATAAAGCTAATTAAGCTAGATTATGCTATAATAAAAAGACTTATACTTAAAAAAACTAAATAATAGTGTTTACTTATAACATAACTATTATATTAGCTTACACTAACTAAGTAAGGTTAAGTAAATTAATAAAAGCTAAAACATTAAGCACAGTGTTTTTAAAAGCTTATTATTTAAGTTTAAAGAAGATAGAGAGCTATCTAGAGTTAGCCTAGACAGACTGCGCATAAATATACTAAAAGGAGCTAAAATACGCACCTTAAAGCACTTTTTACTAGATTTAAAGTAATAAGCATACTTAGTGTACTTAATTTTTTTATTTTATACTATAACATAACTTATTATGTGAAGCTATGTGAGGCACCAGAGACATAAGGAACTGCATTGAATGTATTGCTAGAGGAGTCCTTTGCAGGAGTCTATATATATGCAAAATAAGTGGGTGAGTTGTAGCAACAGACAGTGCTAAGATGCATACAACTATGGTGCTGACGCATAATCATTGTGTGACAACACATCCAACTATTGTGCGACTATAGTGACGACGCATCTAAGTGTCACCACTGCAAACATATTATCTATAAGCATATAACAGCTACTACTTTTATTTATAATGCCTTTATAGAATATTTTGTTAATGTATTAGACATAAGAGTTATTAAAGTATAGGTTTATATTAGTAAAAGCTAATTAATTTTTCTTAAAAAAAACTATAGCTAAATTATAATAAAGTAGGCTATAAAAGTTTATTTTAGAGTTATTAAGTAAAGTTAAGCATAAAAGAAAAAGCTAAAAGTAGATTAGGCAATAGGCAGGCGTAAGTAAGGTAGAATAAGACTATTAAAGCTTGTTAGCACCCCTTTACACTAGATTACACTAGAGTAGCTTAAAATATACTTACCTTAAAAAGTAAATTCTAACTTGTAAAGAGGGCAGAGGTGTAAAGAAGATAGACTTTTAGAATAGTTAGACTCTATATATACTGTCCTAATTACTACTCTATTAGTGTAAGATATACTGCTATTTTACCTTTACTTTTACTTTATACTTTTACTTTACCTTTGTAAGGCTAGATGTCCTAGAACAGGCTAGTATAGCCTCACCTATCCTGTTTAGAGGTTATATAACCTGTGCTTTGTATATAAGCATAAATCCTAACAAGCAAGGCTTAGCAGCGATTTGTCTCTCTTACAATACACTCCTATCCTTCTCTAAAAGCTTGCTCTTAGTGCTATCTGTGCTACCTACTATTCTATCTTTACAACCTTTACTTAATAACTTTAGGTTATTTTTAAATAAACTTATATAAAATTAACTAAAATAAGTAGAAGTAAGTCTTTAAAGCATTATATAACACTTTTTTATGCTACTTAAGCTTATTGTTATCTGTTCTATCCTCTAAGTTATAGGACTACTATAAGAGGGGAAAATGTAAGGCTAGATGTCCTAGAACAAGCTAGTATAGCCTCACCTAACCTGTTTGGAGGTTATATAACCTGTGCTTTGTATATAAGCATAAATTCTAACAAGCAAGGCTTAGCAGCAATTTGTCTCTCTTACAATACACTTCTATCTTTCTCTAAAAGCGTGCTCTTAGTGCTATCTGTGCTACTTACCATCCTATCTTTACACTAGATAGCTAACTATTTTAGGCAACTTAATTTAGCTATACGCATGTACAGACACTAGTAACTTTTTCTTTTATAGGTTAAGTTACATGCCTGTCTTACTTTATTTTTTATTCTCTTATATTCTTTCCTCTTCTTCTTTGTACAGGGCCTATTGTATACTGCTAGTTTACAACACCTGCTAGCTTGTTAGCCTGCGTACAGCATCTCTTTCCTACAGGATAGATCCTGTGCTTAGCTAGAGTATAGAAGAGCTCTTGCCTAAACATATAAAATAAGTTATTAAAATCTTGTTATATTTAGCTTTTAAAGTCTTTTATAAAGTTAGACAGACTATACTCTTTTATACATATAAAAATAAAGGTATCTACTACATATAAGGTTTATTATACTTAAAAAAGATTTATTAACATAGTAAGATAGTCTACTAGAAAAGTAAAGTTAACTTTTTTTATAGTATTATTTTAGACATGTAGGTTATCTGTGAAGCTATGTGAGGCACCAGAGACATGAGGAACTAGATTCTATTGCTAAAGGAGGGCAACTACAGGTTTATATAGTACTAGATGAACCCATCATGTGACTTAAGGCCACCAATAGCTCTAGGCTGCAGCAGGTGGCATTGCTAGGCAGCAGTACGCCAAAGGAGTGTTGGTAGCTAGCGCATGGAGAGCTCCGTAACTGCAAACATTATCTTTACTAGTTTATTATATAAGTATTTTATAATAAAGTAAGAGTTTGCTAGTTACTTATTTATATAGCTGTTGTCTAGAGGAGGGGGGAGAAGGTCTAGTTATGTGTGTACAGCAGTTGTCTAAGGGGGGCAGGTGCTAGTTACATTTATACAGCAGTTGTCTAGGTAGTAGTAGTTAACTGTACAGTAGCTCTTAAAGAGCAAGCTGTTGTGCAGAGTAGCAGGTTAGCTCTAGGGTAGAGGCTAGTTGCTTATTTATATAGCTATTAGAAAAGAGAGAGAGGCTAAAAAGTGTTAGTTAATTATTACTTCTTATATAAGTAATTAATTAAGAAGAGGTGTTAATAAGGCAGGTTGCTAATAAAAAGCCTTCTCTGTATAACTACGCACACACAGTAAGTTTCTAATTATGCGGCCTGTATTATCTCCTCTGCGTAGCTACACACGCAGTAGGCAAGTAGTTGCATAGCCTGTATTAATAAAAAGCTCTAGGGCGCATAAAGGCTTAGCAGTAAGCCCTCTCTATGTAGCTACGCACACAGTAGGTTGCTAATTTTGTCTTTGTGCAATTAGTTAATCTAAGGGCGTGCATAAGGCTTATTTACGCCCTCTCTGCGTAGCTACGCACGCGGTGGGTGTGAGCGTCTAAGCCCTCTCTGCGTAGCTACACACATAGTAGGAGTAAGCTTTTTATATAGTAGTAGGTTTATTAATCTTTATAAATTTATTTACTAAGAACAATATCCTCTGTGTAGCTACACACACAGTAAATAGTTTATTAATAAACTAATTAGTGTTAGTTAACTTAGGTTTAATTAAACAAATATATGCCTAAGAGGCGTACTAAAAGGTAAGTAAGTAAAGATTTTTTTATTATTAACTACTGCCCTATTTTTTTATACAAAGAAAGAGGGCTTTTAAGTACACATAGCTCTTAACGCACAGGCTAGATAGCTAACTGTTTTAGGCAACTTAATTTAGCTGTACACACGTACAGACATAATTATTTTTTATTTTTTAAAGGACATTATATATAGCTATAGCATGTTGTTTTAAAAGTATTATGTTTTATTTAAAAGTCTAAAGTGTAAGCTATATCTAAATTTTTTTAGCATATCTAAGTAGTGTTATTAAGAATGCATTAGTATAAAAACAGTAGTTTAGTAGGGTCTTAGTAAAAGTAAGCAACTTAGGTGTGTAAGCAACTTGCCTGTGGTGTCCGTTATTGATTTAGTTCCTGATTGTTCTCTTTAAAATGCTGTCTCTCTAGCTCTTCCCGTTCCAGCGACTTTTCCTTAATAAACTAGGAAATGAAGAATTCCACTGTAGAAGTACTAGCAATCATCCAAAATACTCCAAATATTGATATCCTATATGCTTCAATGACCCTGTCTAATAGCTTGGCGGATGTTTCAATGTGTCTTAGGAGCGGTATAAAACCAACTGCTTCTTGTATATCGCCTAAAACAGCTAGCTCACCTTGAAGAGGACCCAAGGCCTTAATTCTGTCCATAAAAATCGTGTTGAATATTGTGGACGACAATGCCAGCCCTATAAGCCCACCAAAGAGACGAAAAGAGCACAAGATTCCCGCCGCCAGGCCCATATCGTCGACATTTTCCATGCTCGCTTGCAAAGGGAGGTTCAGAACGGACCAGAAGGCGCCGATTCTAATCCCGAGGACGACTTGAAAGGACTATTTCTCGGCTAGAGTGGAGGACGGGCCTAAAAGAGTCAGGATACCCGCCCCCACGGCCATGAAGATCCAGCTGATAAGAATCACAAGCCGGTACCTGCGCAATACCTCGACTACGACGGCAGCTATGACCGCAGTACCGATGGCTAGGAAGCAAACGGGAAGAGTCAGGACAGCAGCTGGCAATGGCGCTTCGAGGTAGATGGCCTGGAAGAATAAGGGAATATACAAGGTGATACTGTAATTGGCGATGCCGTGAAGGAAGCTTACAAAAAGGGTCAAAGAAGCAGTCCGACCCTTAAAGATCCGGTAGGGGAAAACTGGTTCGATGGGTTTTCTCTCGTAATAGGCAAATGTGCCTAGTAGTACAGCGCCTAACAAGAGGGAACTAGCGTTTGGTACGAGGACCACGGGAACATAGCACCGGCCCAGGGCACGGGCGAGGCAAACAATGTACAGCCAGTAGTGAACAGGACGAGTACACCCCATTCAAGACGACGCAACTTCTCTTGAAGGGGTTGGTCAATGGCTTTCAGCCTTAGAAAGAAGATTGAAAGAACGAGTCCGATGGCGGATAACGGTAGATTGATCCACCCAATCCACCTCCAGGTGACGTACTGGCTGAAAGCGCCAGCAAGGATTGGACCAAGAACGGTGCCTCCTAGCATGGGAATGGAGAAGTAGCCAAGGTATATTGGTCGTTCCTTCAAGGTCGTGATGTCGGCAAGTATGATTTCATTAAGCACGTCCAGGCCACAGCGCCGAGACCTCCTAGAACCCTCCCCGCAATCAGCCCAGTCATATTCTGTGCTACGGCGAAGACGATCGACCCAACAATGAAGAAAAAGTACGAGGTATACAGGGGCATCATGCGACCCATGACGTTGGATACGCTGGTGTAGAGAGGCTGAACAATGACCACTGCAAGTAAGAAGGAGGTACTAGCCCAGAATCCCTCAAGTGTCGTTCCGTCGAGGTTGTGTACTATAGACTTGCCCAACGTAAGTATATGAGTAAAAGGAGGTCCGGAAAATACAACTTACAGGTATCGCGACACCAAGCACCGTGGCGCAAATGAATCCCATGATCAGGAGAGCGATAAAGGACATGTAGAAGGCAAGCGGCTTGTTAGGTCGTGGCTCTCGCGATGTGGCATCATAATTCTCGATCTAGCGAAGGGTACCCGGCTCCTCTTTGCTGTGCTCGATGGGACCTGGCTCCGTAAGCGTCCAAGATGCCTGTTTTCCGTGCTCGAGGTTCTCCATGTTGCGATGAGGTTAGCAAGAATAGAATTAAGCGTGCTAGGAAAATTGCGGCGGAAGTCCATCAGCAAAAAATATATATTGCTAACTACGAGGAATGGGCCTCTTTTCTGCAAGGATTCTACGCCCAGGCTCGCCAATAACAGCGGCCCCAATCTCCAGTGCCGGAGTAACTGCAGTGGGAGCACAGACCGAGGGCCATACCAGCAGTACGGTAGTAATAGCCCAGAGGGGACAATCGGGCGTCAACCAAGGCACAGTAGCCTTGCATCATGATCACGACCGAGAACCCCAAACCCTTGGCAGCACCTATGGGACTGCTCCGCTCGCCGGAACCATCGGAGATTGTGGCGTATACTGCATCACTCCCCTCACCGAGCGCATTTTTAACAGGGCAGTCAGCCTTGCGCTCCCACTACTGCGGCAAGGCACTCTTCCTGTACTACAAGCGCAAACCGTCTAGTGAATTTATTCCTATTCTAGCTCGACCAAACCCCTCTCGTTCGAAGGAGAGGATTAGGCGCATTAAGAAATCCAATTAGCGCCTACTACGCCGCATGAATCCTAATGGCACTTAAATTACGCGAGCTATGAAGGGCAATCACGATTGAGAGGTGATGGATCCGTTTCCAACAGCACCCACAAAATCCACAAAAACTTTTGCCCGCATAATCAACATCCACGGCTGCACACCAAAAGTCCGCGTCTCCTTCTTCCTTCATAACAAATCCCATCATGACCGACAACCTTCGCGGATGCCACTTTACCAACAGCGATGTGGGCACGAGAATTCGCGGAATGGGCTGCCAGTAAGTCACCGCTATCCTGCACCTATAGCAAAGCGTGCCTTCTAATACAGTGCAGCGAGGCTTACCAGCTAGCCATGCATACACTCGACCAGTACCGAGGCACCGTCGTAGCCTGCCGCTACTGCCCACCACTTAGTCTTGCTAGTCCAGAAACCCTCACCACACTCAAGGTCAGGTTCTACGATGCTATCGCCCGTGTTGTCCTTTCTCAACCTCACCTGCAAGTCGGTATCGCGGGCGAAAACTCAAAGGACCCTGCCTTTGTTCGCCTTGATCGTCTCGACCTCCGCAATCATGTTGACTGGACATCACTAGACACCTCTAGTCATCTCGAGCCACTGTACATCGAGTCAATGCAGACTCAGCTCGATTCTAGATATGATAATCTCTCAACTCAGCCTGGCTGGAGAGTTATCATATTGCACAAGGTTGGGGTCGAGTCTATGCTGGTGTTGTACGTTTGGAACCACCCACATCACGATGGAATGAGCGGCAAAATATTTCATCAGAAATTGCTACGGAATCTAAATGAAACCTTCATCCAGAACAAGGAGCCCATAATCAAGGTTCCCGAGGGCTCGGATAGTTGGATCCTCGATCTCCCCGATCCTTCTGACAAGTTACCTCCAAACCCTGAAATTTTGTCTTCATGGCCTATGACACCAGCATTTCTGCTTAAAGCTCTCTGGAAGGAATTAAAACCATCCTGGATTTTCCCCCCAAGCAACACGCACGCAACCTGGGCTCCAATTCAGGCCTCCCCTTTCACGACCCGGTTTCGTAACTTCACGCTCGACAATGACACTGTCATAAAGGTAGTAGGTGCTTGCCGCCTGCACCATACCACCCTAACAGGCCTTGCTCAGGCCCTCGTTCTAGTCTCCCTTTCATCCGCACTTGAGGACATGAACGGCTTTGCAAGCAGAACTCCTTACGACCTGCGACATATCTTGCCGTCGAACACCCCGCAATACCCTTGGTTACAACCGAAAGAGGCGATGTGTAATTACGTATCGGTTGTGGATCACGAATTCGATGCCGAGCTAGTTGCGACGATCCGATCCAAGATGCCGGCTAAGGCCATGGATGCGAGCCTGTCTGCCGACGTCATGGGCATAATCTGGTCTGTTTCGGCTCGAGTTCGAAGGGAGATCCAAGAGAGACTAGACTCAGGTGTGCGAAACGACATGATAGGCATCATGAAGTTTGTCTCGGACTGGCGAGCCCAGCAGCAGAGCGAGGCACGCAAAACGAGGTACTTGTCTTGGCTCGTTACTAACCTCGGCGTCCTGGATGGGGGAATTGGTGCCACACAAGGACAAGACCAAGGCTGGTTGTTACGCCGAGCGGAGCTAGTTCTTAGCACAGAAGTCCCTTCAGCTGCTTTATCAGTATCAATAATGACAGTAAAGGGCGACGAGATGTGTATCACATGTAGTTGGCAGGACTGCGTGGTTGACTCAGGCCTAGGCGAGCGCCTGATGAGCGACCTGGAACGATGGCTAAATGCAATTGGATCCTAGCTGTCATACAGCAGCTCTCATCCTTGAACTTATTATTGGGCTTATTTTAACCTAGACTTCCAGAGTCTCACAAACAATCTTAGGGCATCAACCTCTAACTTGTTCAATGCCATTTTGGGAAACCATGCAAGCACAATATCAATATTAAATGAAGGTACCCGACTCTCACGGAAGCACACCAAGTTCCCGTTTTATGTTATTTTTATTCTCTGAAATATGCCCTACCCTTGGCAGTTAGGTGACGCATATAGTCTTCCCAAATGTGCCATTGCCCCCACGCACTATCGCCTCACCTATTTATCTCATATGTCTATCATTCGGGTATTGTTCTGCTTTATTAGCTATTCTGCCTACGATCTTCGTAGGATGAACCACTCCTTCTCTGCTTAGTTGGTATAACCATATATATATATGCTCGGCAGAGGCTAACACTTTGCTCAAAGTAACAAAGAGAACTACCCATTACTCCATATCCTCCGTTCACGACTCAACCACTATGGAGCCAATAGCTATTGTCAGACTCGCATTTAAGCTGCCACAAGGGGTGGAGGACGAGCACAGCTTCTGGGACATACTCGAACAAGGCAAAAGTGTAATGACAGGATGGCCAAAATCGAGAGCAAACGTCGATGCCTTCTTTCAGTCCCACGCCGCTAGAAATAACATGGTACTTCTCTATCGTCGTTTGAAGAAAACAAATGGATTGGCCCTAATGGAATGAACAGCTACCGTCGATAGGAGCACTTTCCTCAGCCAAGATCTCACCGCCTTCGGCGCCCCATCTTTTCCATTTCCTCGAAGGAAGCTGCATCTATGGATCCTCAGCAGCGAATGTTGCTGGAAACAGCATACCACGCCCTAGAAAACGTAATGCTAGATATTGAATTAATTTAGCGCGTCTTTTTCAGTGGCGTATAAAGGACAGCTGGTATCTCTGTTGAAGACGTCGCGGGGACCGAGACAGGCATATTTTCAGGGTCGATGGAGAGCGACTACAATAGAACGATTTCCAAAGACCTAGATAAAGCACCACCAAATACTGCCACTGGCGCTTCTGTTTCTATCTTGGCTAATCGGTTAAGTTGGTACTTCGACTTGAAAGGCCCTAGTATGCAACTAAATGTCGCACGTGTCTCACGCGATATCATACCCATGTACTGCACTATTCACTCATTAGGCATAGCTCCTCTCTCGTACAGTATATAGTCAGCCCAGAGCTCTATCGAGCTCCTCAGACCTTACAATACACTCGTACAATCCACTTTGTTTGGATCTCACTACCTTGTCGACTCGCTTCCCATATGACCCCTTCTCAGCTCATGCAAGACTAAACACCGCTTGTTCCTCAAGCATGATAGCCGTTGGTCTGGCTTGCCAATCCCTCCGATGTGGGCAAAGTTCTATGGTAAAGACATAGCCAAAAACTAGACCGCTCCCTAGCCACGAGCAAAGTTATTTATTAGGCACTTGTCACAGGGTCTAATTTGATGCTGAGCCCTGAGCTTTCTCTCTATCTATCCAATATAAACATACTTTCTCCAATCAACATCTACTACAGCTTTGACCACCGTGCAAACGGGTATAGCAGGGGAGAAGGTGTAATAGTCTTGGTCCTTAAAACACTCTCGACTGCGATTAGGGATGCGGATAATATACGTGCTGTTATTCGGGGGACTGGATCGAACCAAGACGGCCGTACACCAAGGATCACCCAGCCAAGTTCTAGTTCTCAAGAGAATCTCATATGTCAGGTGTACAACAGCTGCAATCTTGGACTCGAGTCAACACGCTACGTAGAAGCTCATGGTCAGTATCATTATCTGGAACAGAGAGTGTTAGGTCTTCTTTTTGACCAAGATACCAGGAACCGGCACGCAAATTGGGGATTCGACTGAAATGAAAGCCCTCGGTGCTGTTTTCAGGAACGTCCGCTCTCCTAAAGCGCCCCTATATGTGTAGATCGCCACAATAGATCTTATATGTCACTCGCTAATTGCGCCAAAAGCGGTTCTGTCAAGTCCAACGTGAGACACCTTGGAGGTGGGAGTGGCCTGGCTGGAATTCTCAAATGCGTCCTGATCCTTGAAAAGGGGGTCATTCCACCAAACTCATTGTTCGAGAAATTGATTGCAAAAATCAACGCCAAGCGGAATAATATCCAAGTATGAGTATCGCTTACAGATGGAGACATTTGTTCTGACAGTCTCTAGGTTCCTGCGTCTTGTATCTTTTGGCCAGATGATGGCTTGCGCCGAGTTTCAGTCAATTCCTTTGGTTTTGGCAGGTCTAATGCCCACACTATCATAGACGATACTTATCATACACTAGAAGCCCTTAGCCTCGTAACTGGTCTTCACGCCTTTTATTCGTCGGCACTCATGTGCCCAGTAGAGACGAATGGAGGTGCCAAGGATAGTGTGACTAAAGTCCAAGTTATAGAAGTCGACGGGCCACCACGAGACGCAGCTCCAACAGCCTCACCCTCGAGAGAAAATCTCAACGGGACAGCGGACATGTCTGTTGACTCGGTGAATACTATTACTTCAAAGAACAACGTTAGTCTCACCCCGACAACCAACGGCGTAACTCCATTGGACTCGCAAACAGCAGATTGAAAGTACCAGCTTCTCGTATACTCTGCACGAGATGAAGCTGCTCTAAAGCGACTCCTTCGGCAATACAGCAGGTATTACGATGATTGCATACTAGGGTCACCAAGTAGGCTGCAAAAGCTCGCTTATACCTTTGCTGCACGCCGAAGTATGATCAAGGGCTTCTAACGGGCCGTACTACGGTCCGTAAAAAGTGAACCGTAACGGTCACGTGTTCAGTACGAACGTACCGAGTTCGTGAGCCGTACCGTACGTTTAATGATGCCCTAGGTACGGTGCGTAGTACAGATCGTATTAACCTTTTAGGAAGTTTTTATAGGGGTTCTGGAGGGGTAGGAGAGCTCTGGCGAGCAGGAGGCCTGCGGGGAGCGTTTAGGGGGGCTTCTAGGGCTCTAATTAGCTAAAAGTTTTGCAAGGACGCTTAAATCTCTTTCTAAGGGTTTTAATCTATCTATCTGCAGTCTGTTGTTTTAAAAATGCCTATTACAGACTATTTTCTATGGCAGAGTTATCTATCTACGCCTTTTACTGCCTTTTAGGCCTTATCTAGTCCTATCTGCTCTTGTTACTAGGGAGAACTAGTTATTTTATAGTTAATTAGACCTTAATCTTGCGTCTCTAGAGACTTATAGTCTTAGCTGTTTTAACTAGATTACAGTGCACTTTAATTAAATTATACTACTTGTACAGATCACATGACCTGTAACAGTTACAATACGTACACAAAATCTCACCCGTACAGGCCTCAAAATCGGCCAATCGTACAGTACTACGCCTCGTTGGAAGCCCTGAGTATGATGACAATGTGTCAGATTGAAGCACTGTTTCTGGGCTTCCTGAGATGAATGATGGGTTTGGATATGATGTATGGGATGATTGATTGATTGTATTGATCGTGTTGATTTATCGATCCTTTTTCTGCTCTACTCGTGTTGCTCGGCTTTTGTTTTTCCGATCCGAGTCCCTCGCGCACTAGCCCTATGCGCGACCAGCTTGCAACATGCTGCAAAATGCTGCAAAATGCTGCAATTTGCAGCAACATACTGTTCGAGCTTATTGCTCGTACTATGTAGCCGCTTTTCGTCAAACGTTCCTCCTGTCTTGACAGTAGGTGCGCATATCTGACACAATGAGATCGTTCACTGTGGGGGACGCCAACTTGCCCTCTGAAATTATCGGTCTGCCAAACTCAGATTGCGTGCGTTCATCTCTTGAAACGCAACTTTGCCTTGTATTCACCGGTCAAGGTGCCCAATATGCGAAGGTGGGACTAGAACTGATGCAGTATCCCGTTTTCATGTCTGCCCTGAGCGAAGCTAACAAGGTGTTTCAAGCCATGGGGGCTGGTTGGTCTTTATTCGGTACGCAATTTCCTTACTCAACATCCTATGTAATTTCCACATATGGCTAATCTAAGGTAACAGACAAGATCGAAAGTGGAGAAGGCATAACCCTACCGCAATTCGGTCAACCTCTTTGCACTGCTCTTCAAATAGCCCTTTTTGAGTTATTAAAGAGGTTCAATGTTACCACAGTGGCCGTCGTTGGTCACTCTTCTGGAGAGATTGCGGCTGCTTATTCCATTGGAGCCCTATCACTCGAGTCTGCTTGCAAGGTTGTATATCACAGGGGCAGATTGAGTGGACAGTTGGCTACACAATTGGTTGCATACATGACTATCATGGTTGAACCACATTAAGAATCACTCTAAACCATACCATATTAGTAACATGGAACACAAGCGAGTCGGTAACATAAGCGAGTCGGTAGCCTTACTAACTTTGCGCAACGCGTTAACCATTAACTACTATAGCTCAACCAACCACTTCTTAATTACGTTTAAATAAAGCAGGTATTGTCCTTGCTATCTAAGCCCTTAATTGCGCACAAATTAAAAGTGTAAATTGTGCTGCAGCCACGTTTAACATGCCCTAATTAACCCTAAACAACTAACGCGCTAGTTAACCTGCACAACGCAATTGCTAGCTTAACTTAAAGAAGCTTACTAAGCTAAAGGAGGAGTTAATTATTAAACATATACTTAACTTTAATTCACAAGGATTCTTGCCTAGCCTAAACGCTGTGCGAGTTATAGCTAACAATCTGCTTACTACACGTAGTGCTTAGCTAGTAGGAAAGAACTAGCTGCTAAACTTTGTTAAGCGTACAGATAGCCTTACTACATGTTTTAATTAACTGTACAACTAGCAGCAAGCTCTATGTAAGGATCCTAGGATAATACAGACCTGGTTTGAGCTTGTACAGCGTACGCAGGCTACCTATAGGATCTTAGATAAGGATACCTTTAACTTTAACAAAGCTAGCTTTATAATAGGCTAGATAACATCTTAAATAGTTGTTACTAGCTTAGAGAGATGTTGTTAGCCTAAGGCAGTACAACTAGGTAATTGTAAGTAGGTTACAGTTATTTAGAGAATTAATGCTATAAGGTAGGCTATCCTACTATACATTATCTTTAAGGCCTAGTACTACCTATCTGCCTAGTATAAGGATTAGGATATCCTAGGCGACTAGAAGATTAGTGTAAGTGAGAATAGATAGACTAACAATAATTTTAGAGTTACCTAGCTAAGGCACTTTATTAAGCATACTAAGAATAGGATAGTAGGCGCGCGCTAACTTCTAGTCCTAGATAGTTATGTAAGCTATTACTTAGCTATGTTTAAAAACCTCTGCAGAGAGAACAATATCTACACGCTCTATATGCCTCTACATTTATTACATCTCTTCTAGCTGCTTAATGTTAGCTGCTTCTTACTATTAAAGTGTGCGTATAAAGATAAGATTAACAGCTTAGTCTGCTGCTACATAAAGCATATTACTAAGCTTAAATTCCTGCCTTTCTTTAAGGCAGCTTTTAAAAAGGCTTTTACACTAAAGAATATCTGCGCAAGTTTTAGAGGTGCAGGGCTAGTCCTACTTACACTAGAAGCAGTACTATTAAAGCTTAATATAGTTATTTGTACGCCTTTACTACTACTACTACCTTAACTAGAGGCTCTCTAGGTGTTGTAAACACTAAGTAATGTATGTAAACTTAAAGCGCAGTTAACTCTACTCTATACAAGGATTTAACAGCATTAAAACTTATCCTTTACATAAATGCTTTAGTTGCTAGATTGTCTTACTAAAGGCGCTAGAATAGTAATGCATTTAGCTTTGCTACTATGTAATTAGGTCTCTGCTTTTTAGAAAGCTAATAAGGCTATAATAAAGCAAAAGGCGCGTAAAAAAAGGCAGATCTAAAGGCATAGGGATATAATAATTAAAAAAGGTGTAAATATAGTTGCTTAAAGAGACGCGCAGCAGCTAGCAGAGCAGAGTAGGCAGCAGGATGCATTAGCATTAGGGCAAAGTTAACAGGCTCTTGCGCGCTGTAGTTGCTGTAGGGAGCCTAGTTATAATTCTCGCACATGTAAAAAGGATACTGTAGACGCTACTTTATTTTAGATACCTACATTTTTATAGTATTTTAATGCGTTGTTAAGTTGCGTTGTTTTAAAGGTGGAGAAAGTTAGTAAGGCTACTAACTTGCTTATGTTACCGACTTGCTTGTGTTCCATGTTATCGTTTAAACTATACCATGTTAATTATGGTGTTGAACCGCGTTAAAAACCGCGTTAAGAACTGCGTTAAGTAAATATACATTAATTTAAGCGCGTTAGCGTGGTTACTTGCTTTAATACTAATCTATCCCACCTGCTCCCTTATTAATAACACTAAGGAGAGTTTCTTAAAGCTCTAGATTAATTAGTAGACCTATTCTACTATTCTAGACTAGCTTAATGTGCCTCTGTTGTATCTAATTGCTAATACACTTAATTATTTTAATAGTAGTGCATTACAACTGTAATCTGTCCTATAAACAGGTCCTTTAGGCCCTAAAGAAGGTCTGTTCTAGCTCTAATAATTCTGCAGGGATAGAGAGAATAGCTATAGCTATGCAGCTAAGCCCTAAATAGCTGCAACACTGCTTAGATTAACACTACTACTTAAAAAAAGTAACTCTGTTTTTTAAATTAATAGCTAGGCTATTAATAAAGCTTTTAAAGTTGTTATTTAGCTATAAACTAATAGTTTTTACTTTTATTTTTTGCTTTAATAACATAAAGACGTTTACAGGCTTATCTAGCTGTTTAGTTAATATACTAGGTATGTTATCTAGAGCTAGAGAAGAGCCTAGTTTACTATTAAGCTTAAAATTATTTACCTAGATTATATTAGTAAGTTTAATAGCTAGCTCTACCTACTCTTCTAGCTAGTTCTAGTGTAGGTAGGCGGCTTACTTGCGCAGATTAAGTAGTATTGCAGCAGCGTATACAGGTGTCTCTTCTGTTTTATTATAGTATTTGTTAAGTACGTACTAGCCTATGTTAATAGCTTAAATTATGCGTTTATTATAGTTCTTAGGTAAAAAGTAGTAGTTCTACTAAACATAAGTACTTAGCTTTATTAAAAGAAACTAGATACTAACCTTCTACTTTTTATACTATGTTAATAAAAGATCTATAAGCTTAAGTAATTATGTAATTAATAACTTATCCTTTTCTACATACAGAGTTGCTAATGCAAATAGCTCTAAAAAGTAAGCAGCCTTTTTAAGGATATCCTAATTATTAGCTTAAAGCTAATTATTGCCTAGAATGTCCTTATAGTTAGTTATAAAGCTCTTAATCTTATTTATCTTCTTTAAGGCTTGTGCAATAACTTAATACTAAGAAGACTATTATATCTAATTGTTAATCCTAAGATGTAGACTAATAGCTCTGTTCTAGAGACCCTAGTAGATTGTAGAACTTTAGAGCTAGACTATAAGATTATAAAGCTTGTGTAATGTAGAGATGTTCTTAATGCTATTAAAGTCCTTAACTAAGATAATGCTTACATTACTACCTTACTACTTTTATTATTTGCTTTATCTCTTTATATAAGGGCGCTCTACTTTAGTTTATTTATAATAAAAGGTAAGGACACTTAAAAACTGCGCAAGAAGGGCTTTTTTAGCAACACTAAAAGTAGTCTTAAAAGTAGTAATAAGAGCTTCTTAGAAAGACGCAAAGAGGAAAGCTTAAAGAGAAAAATTAATAATATAAGTAATATAACAGACCTAATAATGCTTTGTATTAAAGTTAATCTACTTAAATAATTAGCTTAATAAGTGCTTAATTAAACTTATAACTTGTCACGATTGTGCACGAGTAAGGTTATAGAGCTTCACAGAGGTCTAGTTCAATTACTACGTGAGGTATCATGGTAGGTACAAGACGTTGTGTGAGGAACAGAAAGGTTTAGAAGGAAATTAGCAATTAAATACTTAGCTTAGAAGTCTAAGCGCTTTAGGTATAAATTAAGCCTGTTCTAAGTTTAGTTAGTGTTAAAGTAGTTTATACTTAAGTTTATGTCTATGTTGTGTTATGTTTATGTTAGACGTGCACTAATAATACTCTAGTACGCGTCTAATACAGTTATGTCTAGGATCTAGGGAGGATACTGTAACAGTACCCCCCCTCTTATTAGGAAGGGAATCCTTTACATTAGTAGTTCTAGCATTAAGTTGTCTTTGTTAGGGTACAGGTTTAGTTTAGATAGGTATTAGGCATAGAATTAGGTTACTGCAGAGTTCTCTTATAAGGCTTCTGCAGGTTCTTACAACAGTTTATTGTATCTAGTCTATTTTATAAAGTATTTATAGATACATTTCTTCTTGTTAAACTAAATTTATTTAATGTCTTCTACAACATATTCTAGTTTGTTATTTATAATAACAAGTTTAGGTAGCAGGTTTAGCTGTCTAGGTAAATAGTTAGATTTAGGGGCTGCTTAGCGCAGCAACAATACATAGAACACAGGGTGTATCTTCATGCTGTCAGGTAGGATTAATTAGTAAGCGTGCAATAAGACTATATAGGCTACTGTAAAAAAGCTAAGGTTCTTCTAATTAAGTTTCTTTAATTATTAGTTTGTTTAGATATTTCTAGCGTCTAGCTAGACCTTCTTGCCAGCTGCATACGCAGGGGCAGAGGTTTAAGATTAGTTTACGTACTCTTGTTAAAAAGCTTAAGCCTATGTAAGCTCTTTATAAACATATTTAGATATGTTTTAGATTTTGTTAATAAGTCTATTTACATCTGTTACTTATACAGATTAATAAGTTAGTTAGAGGGTATTTATAAGTAGTTTAAATCCTATTTAAGGGTAGTATCTATAGTTTGCTAAGAACAGAGATACTTATATTAATTTAGATGTTATGTTATTAGCTTTAAACTATGCTGTAGCTAACTATTTTACCTAGTTATTCTACTAGTAGTTTGTGTACACTTATAGGACTTATTCTATTACAGCGTTTGCGTTCTTAGTCTAGCTGTTAGTCTCTAAGTAAAAAGCTGTAGATAGATAGAGGACAATTTAGAGCTATTTACAGAGTTTGTCCTAGAAGGCTAAGACAAACTATGTACCTCTATCTAATATAATTATGTTAGGCAGGCTATAGTAAACCTATACATATTAGTAGAATAACTAGGCTATATTAGGGGCAGTTATAGAGAAACATAGTATTAGGTGTTAATACTTAGTTAAGTAATTAACAACTACTATAATATTTATGTACCCTTTAGATAGGGGTAGGTTTATAATAAAATTAATTAATATGTCTTTTTAAGCTTATTTAGAGATTAGGAGTAGTTTAAGCAGGCTATTATACTTTTTTTAAAAAGCCTTTACTTTACAGCAAGTATAGCAACATAATACGTATTAGCGTACAGTATAGAACATGCGGGGCCAGTAGTACTCTCTCTGTAGTAGGTTAAGAGTCTTTTCTCTGCCTAGGTGTCCTCTAACAAGCAAGTTGTGTACAATTTAGAGTAGTTTAATTCTTAGTTTGTTAGAATTAAAGATTATAAGTTAGTTACAGTAATACAGCTTGCTATTTTAGTTTTTGTAGTTAGCTAGTGTTACCTTTTTTAACTAACTAGCGCTGTTTTAAAGTAGGTCTAAGGTTTCTTAGATAAATTTATTATTTAAATACTTATTAGTAATAATCTAATTAATTGTTTAATCTGTTTTATTTAGGTTAAGGTCTAAAAATAGCTTAAGTTAGAGTAGAGTTTAGTGTTAAGCCTTTTACACTTTTTTTTAAGCAGGGATGTCTTAGGATTGCTTTGTAAAGGCATCTAGTTTCCCTTTATCTTAACTAGAATAATAAGTAATCTTAAAATTAAAATAAGATAAGTATTTAGACTAATAAGCTTGTTAGTAGCTAAGTTGTTTTATAGTTATAAAGTACTACAAGTTCTTGTAGTTAGATAGAACCTATATTAGATGCGCTGCACCTTCTAGTTTAGGTTGCTATTATTTAAAGCAGTGTACTATAGTAAGCAATTTTTTATTATAGATCTTATAATTACCTTCTATAGGACTTATTCTTTTTAAAAAGTATGCAATAGGCTTAATAGTCCTGTCTAGCTTAGTCTAGGAGAGAACTCCTGCTACTACGTAGTCTAAGGCATTAGCTTCTACAAGTATTAGTAGTTTAAAGTTAAAGTAGTAGAGTATTAGAGCTTTAGTAAAGGCTTTCTTTAGCTAGTTAAAGGACTATTAGTAATTTAAGTTAAAGTTAAATTAGACTTCTTTCTTAGTAAGTGTAATTATAGAGCTTACTAGCTGCAAGAAGTTGTTAATAAATTATTAGTAAAAGTTAGCAAATCTTATAAAGGCTTAAATATCCTTTATGTTCTTTAAGTATTGCTAATTTAGCATAGTCTAAACCTTAATAAGGTCTATTTAGATGCTATTTGTAGAGATTACATATCCTAAATATGTAACTTTTAATTAGTAGAACTTGCATTTGTCTATGTTAAGTTGCAGACCTGCTTCTTCTATAGCCTTTAGCACTAGGCGTACATGCTGTTTATGCTCTAAAAGGCTATTGCTGTAGATTAAAATATTATTAATATACATAGTGCAGAACACATCTAAGTAAGGTTAGAGCAAGTTGTTTACAAAATATTAAAAAGTACTAGGCGTGTTAGCTAAGCTAAAGGGCATTACTAGGTACTTAAATAGTCTGTATTAGGTCTAAAACGCTGTTAGCTACTTATTACCTTTTGCTATCCTTAGCTTATTAAAGGCAGTAATAATATCTAACTTTATAAAATACTTTACTTTACTTAGTTAGCTTAAGGTTTCTTATAAAAAAAGAATTAAGTATTAGTTTTTAATAGTAACAGCATTTAGTCTTTAGTAGTTAATGTAGAATTAAAGCCTACCCTTAGGTTTCTTTATAAATAGTATAGGTAACACTACTAGTAAGAAGCTAGCTTAAATAAACTCTTTTTTTAAGTTCTTATTAAGGTATTTTTAGAGCACTTTTAATTTGTTTAGCAACATCTTATATAGTGGCCTATAACTAGGTTGTTTGCTAGGCTTAAGAGTTATCTAGTAATTATACAGATGTTGTATTAAAAGCTTATTAGACTTGTCTTAAAAAAAATATGCAACAAGTTGTAGTAGTCTTAAAAGACTATTGTTTTTAAGTTAGTGTATTTTTAGAAAGCTAAAGCTTAGTCTATATTAGAAATTGTAACTGCGTAGATTTTGTAATCTAGTTATTAAGCTAGGGTTATAAACAGGGCAGGTCTTATGTAGCAGATGTCTATCTACTGTTTAAGTCCTAGTTTATGTCTAAATTAAGTAAGTAGAGGTTTTTTAAAAGCTTTCTCTTCTTTAGGTTTAAGTAGTTATTAAATTATTTTATATAGCCTATTTTAGTAAAAGGCCTAGCTTGTTAGCCTTACTTAGGTAGTTCTTTTCTAAGTTATTAGAAAGTAAGTCTAAAGACCTTCTATATTAAGTGCTATTTAGGTGTTGTTTAAGTGTAAGCGTAAGCATATATCTTAGCATTAGAAAGAGTTAAAGTTTAAAACTTACTTTTAGTAATTAAAGGCAACCTTGTGCTAATACAGCTATAGTTGTCTTAGAATTAGGTTATAACATCTTATGTTTATTACATAGAGCTTAATTTACTTCTTGTAGTGTTAGTAAGTAATTATAATAGTTATAGTACAAAAGATAGAACCTTTTTTAAGTTATTTTTTATTAAATCTAGTTAGGTAAATTATTTAGGTAAGTAGTGTTAATTAGAGATTTAGTTTACGCGCTAGTTCTCTATTAATATAACTTATACTGTTTACTCCTAAGTTAATAAAAGCTTATATTAGGGCTAATATAGTTCCTTATTATAAATATATAGAAATATTAACTTAGTACTTTTAGTTATTAGTAGGGGACTTAGCCTATAGGTTAGCAGAGATCTAGTGTTAAATTAGTCCTAAGGGGCAACTTAGCCCTAGGATAAGCCTTTTTGCAGGCTCCTACTGCTATAGCTGCGGCTATGTTAAGAGTAGTAAAAAGAATTAGAGCTTAAATACAAGTTAAAGCCCTTACAAGAATAAAATTAAGATAGTAAGGATCTTTAATAAGTGCTAGCAGCGCTACTTATGTAGACTTAAAGAAGGGGAATAAAGCAGTTTTAAAAGATATAACTATGCTTACTGCACTTAAAGCATTAACTTTTTTTTTTATAATCTTTACGCTTTCTAGAACTAACTAGAGCATAATTTAAATTAATTTTTATTACATTAGAGTCCTTATTTGCAACTGCGCTAGTTTAGGGGCGTATTAGGGCTTATACAGAGAGGAACCTTATGTTATTATTGTAGGTAGCAATTAGGTTTACATACGCGTTAAGGTTGTTTAGAAGGGGTTCTCCTACTATAGCGCGTTGCAGTTTAGTTAAGAGAGAGTTATGTAGGGCTGTAATTAGACCTATTTTATTTAGGCCTATATTAAATATAAGTTAGTAGAACTTAGTAAAGTGTAAAGTAAAGCTTTTTTTTTCTTATTATAAGGTGTTTAAGTAACTTAAGGCTATTAACTTTTTATTTAGGTCTTTATAAGTTGCTTACAAGAACGCTATAAATTAATCTAAGTTAATAATATCCTTATCTATTAGTAAGTTAATTAAGGCTGTTATGTTGCAGTTAAGTTAAAAGTAGGCATATAGTAACTAAAAGTGTTTAGAGGGGAATTAGTCTATGTTTTCTTTAAGTTTGTATTAGAGCTTATGTAAAAAGGAAGGTAGGTCTTTCTGTTTTCTATTAAACAGTAGAGGATTAAGAAGTTAGTTAAATTTTATTACTAAGTTAGAGAGGTTACAAGTTGTAGGCAGCGTTAGGCAGGAGAGAGTTAAGCTATCTCTAGACTTCTAGGTAGGCTTTAAGGCTAGTAAGTTTTTAGTTCCTACTACTATAACAAAAGTTAAGGCAGAAACAGACTACTTAATAATATAAAGCTGTTTTTTAAAGTCCTTTTAAAAAGCTTTAAAGCTTGTAATGTAGTAGCTTTTTTATAAAGTAAGCGCTTTTTAAAAGGCTTTTTAGCTTGCTTTAATAGCTTAGAGTTATATAAGTACTAAGCTTATTAGATTAAATTTAGAGGCTATTCTTAGCTAGAGTTTTAACACAATGTAATGTTATAATTATGCATAAGTAAGGTTATAGAGCTTTACAGAGGTCTAGTTTAATTACTATGTAAGGTATTATAGTAAGTACAAAATATTATGTAAAAAATAGAAAAGTTTAAAAGGAAATTAGTAATTAAATACTTAGCTTAGAAGTCTAAGCGCTTTAGGTATAAATTAAGCCTGTTCTAGGTTTAGTTAGTGTTAAGGCAGTTTGTGCTTAAGTTTATGTCTGTGTTGTGTCGTGTTTATGTCAGACGTGCACTAATAATACTCCAGTACGCGTCTAATACGGTTATGTCTGGGATCCGGGGAGGATACCGTGACATAACTAATGTTATATTTACACTTTAATTGCTTTAATAAAGCTTCTAAACAAGTATTGTTTAATATTACATTATTGCCTACATAATAGCTAATTTAGAATGTAATATTATATTTTTTAAGAGTATTTATAATAGAAACTGCTTGCTGCTCTCTAGAGTAGCTGTCACGTAGCTCTAGGAGCCCTAAAAGTGCCTTCTAAAGCTAATAGTCTTAATTAACTTATTGTGCGCAAACTGTAAGCATTAAGTAACAATGCAGCAATGTCTAGAGGTCTAAGAAGATGTAAATAGGGCTTATAGCAGTTATTATGCTAGTAGACAGCTGCTCTTAATAGAGCTTATAGTTTACTGTAATGTATTACATAACTATAGTTTACATAGTAATTAGCTTACCCTTAATAGTAAGGTTATAAGTAAGGCAGAGTTACTTTAGTTTCTTTTATTTAACAGCTAAGAAAGGCACTTTATAATAAGTAAGTAGTCTTATTAAAGCCTTGCAATAAGCTTATTAGTTAAAACTACTCTATAAAGTGTCTGTTGCAGTAATAGAAGTATAGATAAATAAAATAAACTGCTAAGTGCTTGCATAAGAATAAGTCCCTAAGGACATTAATAACACTAGATGCTTTACCTTAATGTAGGTAATAGTGTTACTAAGATGCGTCTCCTCCTAGCTAGGACATATCTTACAGACATATAGCCTCTTCTCTTTACTTTATTGTTTATAACCTAGTTATAGTAAAGCTAGGCCTTTTTTTAGTTTATAAGTAAGGATAACCTAATAGAAGTTAACAGGCTTTGTTTTACAGTCTACAGTCGCAGAATTAGATATCTCTGACTCTAAGGACAGTATAGGCGACATTTAGAGAGGTGTAGGATTAAGACGTATAATAATTTTAGATAACTAAATAGCTAAAATAAATAAAGGTAAAGGTTTTAAAAGCTGTAGTGTTAAATTATGTTCTAAAAAAAGTGCTTAAAGTAACTTACATTCTGCATTAAGGTTCTAATAGCTATATAAATACATTAAATCTATAAACGTAATAACTAATTAGTAGTAACTGCTGCCTAAAGTATAATAGTCTGCCTGTAATACAAGAAAGAGGCGTTTCCTAGTTTGTTGTTGCCTGTAGGCATCAAGAGCTGTATCTCTGCATCTAACATGTAGATCTACTAAGCCATTAATGCGTTTTGCAGTTAAACCACATTAAGCTAATAGACTAACCTAGTTTAGACTTAATACTACAAAACCGCGGTTAGATATAAACCAGGTTTAGAACCACGTTAAGGTGGTCATGTATGATTGGTTGCATCAGCTAAACCTGGGGCGATGATGTCCGTGAACCTTCAGGAAGGAAACTCCCGCGCTTACGCGGACAACGTCCCTCCAAGTTCAGATATCCATTATCTTTCCTGCTTGGACCTCCTTGGGGATCCGGTACTAGATAACAATGCGACATTGATGGTGTCGTCAGTTACCGGACAGAAAGTCACCCCGACTGAACTATCAACGGGCCAGTATTGGGTTGATAATTTGACCTCACCTGTGTGCTTCGTTGATGCATTGCAATATATCATGCAAGCGGCGCCCAAATTGGACGGGATCAAAGCAATATCCGACTATATTGAGATCGGTCCACATGGTGCACTACGTCGACCTATACTGGAGACATTAAGCCAGATTTCAAACAAGAAAGAGTCCAGATAAGTTTCAGTCCTGTCAAGACTCGGTTCACCTCTGAAAACGACAATGTTGGCATGTCAGCCGTTGCCAACAAGGCGTCGACAGGCGATGGCCAGAAACGACTGCTCCACCGTATCGATTGGAAACCACAGCTGTCTCTAGTCACCACCCATCAACTATCTGATTATTGCGATGTTGAAAAGTTCACCGATGATGAAGCCTTTGCGATCGACTATTGCGTTCGGTTGGAAGATACTCTACGTACACGTCTCGAGCGCAATCTGACCCAGCTCCAAGAAGCAGTCGGACCTAAAACACCGGAACACCTCAGGCGTTTTGTGTCTCGGATCGAGAGGCAGCTCTGCATAAGGCCAGGCCAGTATGTGGATGAAATAAGGGACGAACGTCTCCGCGAGGAGCTTGAAAACCTACGAGCGATCAGACCATCCTGGAGGATTTTCATAGACGTCGTGCAGAACCTCGCCTCCATCGTGCGGAAAGAGACCGACGCCCTTGATCTTCTCTTCTCGACACCCTTGGCCCAGGATTTATATGACGAGTTTTCCAGCGCACATGCAATCACAAGTTGTTTTCGTATCTTGAGCTGGCAGCCTATCAAACTCCCGACCAACGAATTCTCGAGGTCGGCGCGGGTACAGGCGGCATGACGAATCAAGTTCTAGCAATGCTACGTCAAATCGAACAGCGAACCGGAGGCACCGCATTCTGTGAATATGTCTATACCAATGTCTCGCCAGCTTACTTCCCAGAAGCGCGCGAGCTGTTTGCGGATTACCGTAACCGTATGAACTTCAAAACTCTCGACCTTGAGCAAGACATCAGTGCGAGTATCGAGCCCAGAACGTGCGACATAATTCTGGCTGGGAGCGTGCTACACGCCACCAAGAATCTGTCTAGTACTCCGCGAAACCTTCGGCGTGCGCTGAAACCCGGTGGCCGGCTGATCTTCCTAGAGATCACTGCTCCGGAATGCTTCGTCACGAGCTTTGGTTTTTGCATTTTGCCAGGCTGGTGGTGTGGGAGGAGTCTCGCGCATGGTGTCCAACAATTACCAAGTCTGATTGGGACGTGTTGCTGAGGGACAATGGGTTCTCTGGCAACGAATTGGTGATCAGAGATTACGAAGACGATAGGTCGCACTATGTCAGCATCATCGCGTCCTCAGCAGACAGACCCTCGCATACGATTGCTGAGGGCTCGAGGGTCTTAATAGTTATCAATGACGAGAACCAGAGGAGGCTGGCATCGGATCTGGTGCGCGGAGTTTTCGACTCATCAGGCTATCACCCCATGGTTGTTACACTCTCTCAAATAGGAGATGCTGAGGTGTGTCCGACCGACATAGTAATATTCCTTGCCAACATAGGAGGACTGGTATTGGCCGAGCCATCGGATGACACCTTCAAAATGGTCCAGGATTGGGCGCAGCAATCTAAACAACTACTCCGGGTAACTGCGTCGATCGTCTCACAGCAATCCTATCCTTATACTAGTCTCAAGGATGGGTTTTTACGGGTGATACGATCAGAGAATGACAGCAAGAGAATCATCTCCCTTTCTCTAGAGGATGGTACATCTGACCCAGGTTTCCTGCAACACATCGCGCAAGTTTTTCATTCTGCCTTTGAGATAACATCCCCAAATTTCGAGTATATTGTTCGAAACGGGAGAATTCTGACTGGCTGCCTCGTTCTCGAGCCCGACCTTAACAAGGACTTGAACTCATCCATCCATCCACAAATGAAGAACGAAGCGTGGTTCCTGGGCCCACCCGTCAAATTAAATGTCGGAACCCGTGGCTCTCTCGACACATTGCGTTTTCATCGAAGACGAGCACCGTACCACGCTCGGCCTGACAGACATCAAAATCGAGATCCAAGCTTGGGCTATCGGCTTCCGCGACGTGTTCAGTGCTCTAGGCCGGCTGGACGAGAATGAATTCGGCACGGATTGCGCCGGCGTAGTAAAGAGAGTTGGCTCCCAATGTACCGAGCTGCGCCCAGGCGGCCGCGTCTGTACATCATCGTTCGGTTGCATGCGGACATATGTGCTTTGCCATGAATTGGATGCCTTCAAAATCTCCGACGCCCTCTCTGTGGAGGAGGCCTGCGGCGTCATCAATCCAATAATGACGGCTTGGTACTCCCTCGTCGACGTGGCCCGCCTGAAAAGACGGGAAAAGATCTTCATCCACGCGGCATCGGGGGCGACGGGACAGGTCGCTATTCAGGTTGTCCAGATGGTTGGTGCCGAAATCTTCGCAACCGTGGGATACCATCATAAGAAGCAGCTGTTAATGGACGAATATGGTATACCCGCTTCGCATATCTTCTACAGTAGAGATCTCAGTTTCGCTCAAGGTATCATGCGCGTGACTGAGGGCTGTGGATGTTGTTCTAAATTAACTAGTGGGCGAAGGCTTGAGGACGTCGTGGGAGTGCGTTGCTCCATATGGCAGATTCATCGAGATAGGGAAGGCTGACATCAACGCGAATACCCCATTGCCAATGGCGAGTTTTGCTAACAATGTGTCCTTGTCTGCGGCTGATCTTCGCCATCTCGATTTTAATCGGAGGGGCTTGGTGAGAAAGCTGTTTCTCACAACCATGAGCCTAGTTCGAGATGGGACCATCCATTGTCCAAGGCCATTGCATACCTACTCCGTGTCAGCAATAGAGGAGGCATTCCGATACTTGCAAAGTGGAAAGAGCACAGGAAGAGTTGTCATTCAAGTCGATCATTCTGCCAAGGTTCAAGTATGTGCCCACTCTTGTAGTTATAACGCTGTTCAACTAACATGTCGTAGAAACATATCATTCATCGCAGGACCTGGGGTTTTGATGGGAACGCTACATATGTCGTTGCTGCAGGTTTAGGAGGAGTTGGACGCTCTATCCTCCGTTGGATGGCTTCGAAAGGTGCAAAGCAGCTGATAGTTCCATCAACGTCTGGTGCGGCATCTAAAGAGGCCATTCAGGTTGTTAGTGATGTTACCAAGCTGGGAGTAAAGATAGTAACACCCAAGTGTGACGTTTCCGTGGCAAGTTGTGTTCAAAGGATGCTTGACGACTATGCACAAGTCATGAGTCCGATCCACGGGTGCATCAACGCGACTATGGTTCTTCAGGATTCGGTTTTCGACAACATGACACGTGCGCAATGGGAAACCACCATCCGTTCAAAGGCTCAATCTTCATGGATCCTCCACACTCTACTTCCCAAAGACCTCGATTTCTTCATTCTACTATCTTCTGCATCTGGAATTGTTGGAAACGCTGGTCAATCCAACTACGCGGCAGGCTGCACGTTTCAAGACTCATTATCTCGATTCTGTGTGTGCCATGGCCAAAAGGCCGTGTCTATCGATCTCGGCCCCATGCGCTCTGTTGACGTGGTTGCCGAGCACGAAGGCCAAAGAAGAGTTTTGAGAAATACCCCGGTCTGGCCCCAATAGAGGAGGAAGAATTCCTTACGCTCCTAGATATCCTTTGCGACCCCGATTACCATTCGCGCAATTCCACGGTAAAGAGCCAAGTTACAATGGGTATTGTTACACCAGATGATCTTGTTCTTGAAGGTGGTGATCTACCCCTCGAGCATTTACATCAATCACTCTTTGCCTGCTTCAATCAAGCCGGAGCTGCATCGAGTAACTCTGTGTCGGCAAACAGTGTAAACTCGGCAGCACTGTTTCAGCAAGCGGAGAGTGTAGAAGAAATGACCAGCATTGTCGTTGAATCGCTGGTGAGGAAGCTGGCGCGTGTGCTATCTATACAAGCCGAAGATGTAGATGTGGACAGACCCCTACACTTGTATGGGGTAGACTCCCTTGTTGCCGTCGAACTTCGCAACTGGATCACAAAAGACTTCGCGGTAGATGTGCCTGTTTTCGAGTTGATGAGTGGTAAAACATTTTAGCGATTGGGCAGTTGGTTACCAAGACTAGTCAGGTTAAGAGAGTAGTCTAATCGTGGAAAATGCAAGTAGAATAGGAGACGATCAGACGACTCCTAAAGTTTAAGATGTATGCGGTGTGAGTTCGGGGCTTTCCAGGACTCCTGAGCTTCCAAATCTTCATTCACAGAACGCAGGTGTTCGCGAAGGTATACGTGCTAAGCTTATGCTGTGCCTTTGCGGAGGCTTGTTCTAGTGCGTCGGGTCTATGGCGTAGACACGGTCGGGAAATTTAAGCTGCTAATCCCGGGAGTTTAAATTGCCACATAGTATATTTGTAGGCGGTGCGATTTGTGCTAGCGAACGGAGTTAATCTGCTCATGAATAATTAGAGTCTACCCGTCCTATTTCTCATATTCCTAAATATGACTTGGGGTCCTTTTCAGTTTCTTTTCGGGAAGAGGTGGAGGGTAGTTCTATGATTATTTAAGTGAGAATTGAGGAGACGGTCGTGACGTCGACACATTCTATAATAACGTTCTTTCTTCAAATGGCAAGAGGGTTGCCGTAGCCTTCTTGCCCTTCTATTACACGTCATTGTATGTTAATGCAATATCGTAGTTATGTTATGCCTATATCCATGCAGCTTATACGATAGCAGCACGCTGTCACAATAAGAGTAGCGAAATCGGATGGGGTAGTGAACCATGCGAACTCCCATACCCTATATCTGGGAACGACCTATTTCCACTCAATAGCATTACGATATCGAATCTCGCGCTTCCTCCTTCTCCCATCCAAAATTGCATGAATTTGCCAATCATAACAATTCTTAGCAACTTTACCACCGCATAGCGGCCAAGTCTTTTTGAGGCTCATGTCGCAGAATATGCCCTCTTCAAAGGACACGAAATCCGGTCCCCATGAAGTTAGGCTCGCACAAAGGTACCTGCTGCTATGTCGCACATCATGACTGCCGACTATACTCGGTCTGAACGACACCTGGTTTCGTTCGTCCCAATTCCAAGATGGCAACTTTTTGATAGGAGCACCAAGGGTGCTACCGATCAAGCTGAAAACATTAAGCACGGTTAACATATGACTAAAAGTAAAAGGCCGGAAGCTTGGAGCTGCAGACTGGAATATTGGTTGCCGGTACCACTCTAGCTTAGGGTAATTGCAAAGTGCTGTAGGGTTTTCCGGAACATTAAAATGGTTCGATGAATCCACAGGTCCAAAATCTGGAGTGTGAATTCGAAGGCCACTGTATTCGAACAAGGCGTTCTGGTTTCGGTGACCGCCGATCCAAGTGCAATACGGCTAGCAGAAACAATCAGTGCCATGGGCGATATATAGAGCTAGATCTTAGAGGGGTGTACTCACTTTGTACATAGACCCATTAGAGGTGCCAACATATAGGTTCGAGTAATACCATTTCGCCCCACAGAACTTGCCGATATCCCCCAACCACCCAACTTGAGTACCATCTGACCACGTCTGAGCCAGGTACGCCACGCAGACAGCATCAGGACCACCAGCAACCTCCAAATATGTCGGTTGCTGGTATGTCATATTCTGTATGACTGGAATGGTGATGTATTTGCCAGCCCCAATGTTGGTTAAGTTGGAACCACTTGCGCGACCGATGGGAATAACCTCCTCATTGTACACCCTGATTGACGGGACAGTGCCACCCAGACCCTCAGATGTAGAAGAATTCAGGCCAATACCGACGCGTACAAGGGAGTGGCCTTGAGCTAAGTAGCTTGTACTGGCGTCACCGTGTGGGAAGAGTAAACCGATGATGCCAAGGGCACTGCCAGTTAGTAGGGCGAATACCTCGAGGGCTATTCCGGCCATATTGGTGGTCTGGATGGGCAGGTAGCGCAAGATAGTAATTTTAAAGATTGCAGAGACAGTGCATGGCACAACTAAATGGAATATGAACGTGAATGATTAACAGTTCGAATGTTTGGTCACACTATGTGATGCGACCCTGGGTTGGGCCGATTATATGTTTGCCTCCAGCTCGTATAAATTGAACGCAATGCCAGTGTTTCCAATGGAACTTGACAAATAATATTCTGCCAAGGGCGGGGAATCATTGATTGCCAGGGCGTATTTCGTAAAAAGCCTTTCGAGCCTTGCAGGATCCGTCAAGTCCTGCGCGTTAGGACGCATTCCTCCCTAGGAGGCGAGGTGAAGGCAAATAATCTAAGCGAAAAGAATGGGGCTGTATTGAAGCTGTCGAATAGATTAGACTTACAGTTGTGCTTGGCGTGTCTTGCGCAAGGCTGAGACATTTAAGCTCCGCCGGATGTGGCATAGTTAGGGCCGTTCAGATACGTACGGCTGGAAACGCCTTCTGCACGTTTGCCTGAAGTGATGGTTCGAGACAACGCTCATGGAAAAGTGACGCGTCCTTCCCACCTCATTCCTTCATTTAACTTCATTGCATCTTCGCAGTCAATACAAGCACATCTACCGCAGCTTATCACCTAACGCGGAACACAACAGGGTAGTGATCTGTAACAAAATTCTACATCTCGGTCAGGTTCTTCCTAACTCTAACAAGACGCTAATAGAACTAGTCTACCCCAGCCTTGATCCAAGTTATGAGAAGGTGAAGTAGTCTTTGTTGCCATTTCAGTGAGCTGAAAACAAATTCTTTCATATAAGATAGTTCCCTGGTCCTCTAGCTGGACCAGCCCATGAGAATACATGAAGGACGAGAATAAATAGTAGCGTCTCTTACTGAGCACCTATCATAAATCCGGAGAAATGTAGGAAGTGCCAAGACGCATCGGATTTTATCACTTGAATGTTGTAGGTTTAGAAGATCACAGAGAATTGGATAGTACATGCACACATGCTGAAATTTACCTGCCCTTCTCCATCTTGTGGGTTTTCTCCTGCACAACCGCTTCGAACGGATTCGAAATACTCACCCGCTAATCCAACAACGTAAGCAGCCTCGTCCTTGCCTACGACGACATTGTGTTCCGCTAGTGTGCAGCATATCAGACGTGGGCCGAGCCGTTTGTACCGCAGACGGGCCTTGTGTCATGGGGGTTTTGTGACATTGTCGACGGATTTCAGATGCAATGCATCATCAAATGGCAGGCATGGTGGGGTCACCAGCAAACCATGTGACCAGTTCACCATCCCGACCTCTCAACGGTCGATTCGATCATCGTCCGTTCCTCTTAGGAGTACTAGGGGTCGTATGTTCTCTGCATCCGAAGCATTTCCGCTCCATTTTAGATTCCAGAACTCGTTCGCCTGATGCTCAAGGGCTTGCAGGCGATTCACGCTCAGCGCTTTCAGAAATACGCTTCCACAACTTTCATCACTGTAGCTCCCTCGCATGCTGCATTGATCCCGCGAGTTCTATTGTCCTGCGAATTCTCCCCTCCTCTTCATCCAACCGCATAAGCTCTTGTAAATGACTACGATGATGCTGTACCCTCCCAAGATCATCCTGAGCGGTAAGAGTAGTATCCGATGCGCGATTCCTCTGCATAGGAGCACCTGCGATGTCCCTATTCGGCGACGGGGTATATGGAACTACTTCCGGGTGTTCGGGATAGATGGCCTTGTTCTCCAAAGTGTACGGTGATGATGGACCCAGATCGTGCCCATGCTCCGCCAGAATGACGGGATGATCGGATTGCGTGGTATTCCCTTGTTTCTTGCGCTTTCCTCGGGAGAGAAGCAGGCCTGTTACAGCGGCAAGGAGCATCATTCCGCCAACTGCTGATCCAATCCCTACACCGGCGACAGCACCTGGTGCCATGCCCGCTTTTACTACTACACAGCTGGCTGAAGGGATGGGCGAAAGCGTGATCGACGTTCTAGTTGAAGATGTTATGGCAGCAACGTTTCCTGCAGTATCATAGGACCCTTGCGAATCGGTTTGGCCACGTGCGTTTGTTTGAGCTGGCGTGAATGCTTGAGATAAACAAACAGTCTTTGTCAGTGTTGACTTTTCCGTCGTCGTAACCTCCGATATCCGGGCGGAAGGCGGTGATACGAAGGCTGGTGAAATATCAGCATGAAAGCAAACAAAGTGATCAGATCTCCAAGGCTGTAAGGGAAGCATCCACGAACCTTTGCAGACCGATGAAGCATACGCTGAAACCTGGCCCGACAGCTTTGGGCAAACGCATGGCCAGCAATTGGTGACAGCTCCCTGATAGCCCACGTTGCGGCAGTTGCAGGCAATATCATCGTTTCCAGTACAGCCGCCGTAGCTACCTACCAGAGGGCCGAGGACGCATGTTCCCTAGATTTTATTAGTTTTCCAGCTTGTGCGGAGCTCGGTGGTGCGCACCAAGCAGTCTGCCAAAGGAACGTTGGAAGCAACACCGTTGCATTCTTGGGCACTGGCCCCGTGAAAGAGGATGATCAGAACCGTGATCCCAGAGATGGTTCCCACGATCTTCCACAGCATATGAAAGCTAAACATAATGCGAAAGAGGCCCATGACACCGGATAATGATGTCAGAAGAAACCTCTCTCTCTCTCACACACAAATCCGTAGAGTTTTGAATAAATTGAGTCCGTAGGAGGCTTGATGTCGATCAAGTGACAGCATTGGACGATTGGGGTGCAGGGTCGAGAATCGCGGCATGCTTCCGCTTTTGGTGAAAGACCTTGAGTAATCAGCGCCACATTCAGCAACCGCTGCAAATACGACGACCCTCAGGTGAATAAGACCAATCATTCTAAGATTTCTGTCAGCCTCACTTTACGCAAGCCATCGGCCCCCAAGAGCAACCCCAACGTCCCAGCGCAGACTGAAGTCGGCTAACAAGCTCAAAACTTGCCCGCGTAAATCGCTGGCCGGATCTCAATCAAATACAATACACGTCAGCCCAAATTTCTAGCATGTCTCTAATTGCGTCGGGGTTTGCAGCAATAGGTCAAAGAAATTCGTCAGCAAGAGCGATTAAACCAAGAAGACCCTAGGCGTCTTCGTAGCATACTTGCGCAACCAGTGGAACCTGAAATGAGTGGAATTAATTTACCAAACTAGTTGCTGAGATTTGAGACAATATCAAGGAGATACTGGCTGCCCTCAACAGATTAAGCAAATGCCAATTAAATACTTCCTACATGAAGCACGGATCGTACTGGCAGCCTCGAGGCTCTGAAGCTAATTGCTGCCGATAGTTCCTTCGGACTTCACAAACTAGTCTATCATTCCGTCCAAGAGTCTAGTTCAGTAGATTATTGTCCAGAGCTTTAGTAGAGTCCTATTGCCCACATGGCAGCAGCGTCGAAGGGATAGCTCCAGCGAGCGGAATCACGGTTTTTTTTCGGCCAGTCTCATCATCAGCATTCGCACCAACATTCAGGTGGATCGTGGCAATGGGGCGACATATTCTGCAGGCACTTCTCGATTGATTATCACTAGATTTCCGCCATCATGAAGGCATGGAAGGGTGTTTGGCAACTTCAGGTGCCTATCACCGCCGATGATTGGGAACTCCTTGTCCATGTGAGGTGCTGTTGTCTTGACAGCATCATATGGTGAAGCCTTGAAGGCGAGCTCTGCCAAACTCGCCTAACCCTGAATGAAAGAGTCCCTGCATTCCTGAATCTTGCTGTGCCTTGCAAAAAGCAACTTGCAGTCCGAATTTCAACCAATAGTTGGAAGTTCTGCACACGGCTCGGATGTACCGCCAAACCTTGGCACGTGCATAGGCAAAAGTACAAGCAACAAACTGCAAAATTAGAGCAAAGACATTCTCGATGCAATGAGATTCGCTAGGTTGCTCCTAGAGCGATTTTTTCTCCTCATCCTCGTAAATCTGAGCCTGGTCGCGATCGTCCGAGGCTCCTTTATTCCTGTCCCTCTTTGTTGGAGTTTGGCACTCCGATTGGTTGCTCGAGCGTGTCGGCTTCACAGAGCGCGGGTCGTGTCTCCTTGGTAGGAATGCATTAACACTAGACAAAAGTAGCCTTGCGAATAAGATACTTGTACGGAGACATTTGATTACGGAGATTTCTGTCCTCCAAAATAACCACAGTCCGACTTCGTTGAGGGCCTAATTATCCAGTAGGTTCAGAATACCGCCGTTATCCTCAAATTCAGATTACAGGGCCATCTTCTGTCTCGAGAACTCCCCACTTCTTCTCCACACATCCTGCGCCGTCCACTTTTCTTTTGGGATGTTTACAATCGCGGGCCCCACTAGAGGCTGCTCCAACCGAAGAAATGATATACCCTCTGCATTCGGTACACTAAACACTCTCTTGCTCATTAGCCACCTCGACGAAGAGCTAGCTATTCGACGATAAGAGAAGTACGGACACCCACCAGCCTCGAAAACATCAGGCAATCACTTACGAGCAGAAGACCGGCGGCTGTTGGGTAACTAGTTCTGCGATAGCATTAAAAACGCGGTCTTCGAGATTTAGGGAGAATGGAAGAGGGCTCATCGAGAGAGACTAATATCCTCGGCAAAGTGCAGCAAGAATCCGGGAGACTTCCAGGTCAGGGATGTTGGCACCTCTATCTTGGGCGGTTTTGCTTTGACCTCTAGAGCGTCCTCCTATCTCCACTCCCGAGTTCCTTGAGAGAACCCGCGATAGGAGTGTGCCAAGAGACATGATGAGAGAGGAGGGAGGACCAGGGCTGGCAAGGGGTTCTACCGGAATCTTATTATCTACACAAGTCCAATATATAGGGGCAGGGGATTACTTCATTCTGAGGATCGCCGACAGCTTTGCGTGTCGAACGATGAAGCGGCTGTTGAGAGGAGACGACAGGACCGCGATAGCATATGAAACTTGTAAGTCATCAAAACTAGACTCGGGGTGAATTAAATGTTATTGGGAGAATCGTGGGAAGTAACGCCAAAAGCGGATGGTGAACGACGTGGTCTGATCGGGCACCTGCACCGTGCCGGAACGGCCAACCCTGCGCGGGAGGTGTTGGGCGAGTCTATTCTTATGGGTTGGTGTTCCGCCTTCAGAACTCCCAAAGAATATATTTCAACCGCCAGTGGACAAGAATTATGGTGCTAATTATAATAATAGGTTCTGGAGCGAATAGAAATGACGGTGAACGTAGGTACTAGATAGGTTACTGAGCATATAGGTCACTAAGCAGATAGGTAGCTACATATCTGTTGAGAAGTCGTCTCCATGTTGCATGTTGCCATACGTGCCATGTTTCGTCGCTCGTGCACCAGCGGGTACATGTACGGGGAGACCTACAGTCATGGCATACCTTTCCATCCCGGGCCTGAGTGCATGTCAACTGCTCAATACACCGCAAACTTGCTCCTCGCTGCCCTCAGATTTGCCCCTAAGAGGCACAACATATCCAAACTACCCCAGCAGACCACAGTCACCCCCACCAGAAAGCCGACTCTTCCCGGCATACCCATAGCCTAGAACATCGGGGATGCATAAAGAATTGCTGCGGCCGCCATCACGCTTCTCAAAAGTCCATTAGCTGCAAGAAGCGAAGCTGTGTATGTTGGGCAACAAAATGGGACATAAAGGAACATACATTGCGTCGCAGCAATTTAGACTCCGGCCGTTGCCATGAAGACACCGAGCATAGTGGCAACCCAGCGAATGCAGGCTTAGTCCGTGGAAGCTTCAAGAAAGTCAGCATCAACGAGTGCCCTTTCTTCACGAAAACATACTAAACAAGAACATGCCGGCTAGTAATCCCAATGAACAAGAGTTCCTCAAGTGTTTCCATTCCACGCTTTGCGATCCTACGGTCTACCACGAGTCTGTAGTATAGCAGGTACAACGGAACCGTAATCGTTCGGGAGACGGCAACAGCAAGAAACGAAAAACTCATGCCGCCACCGCTAAGTGATCCAAATCTTGGTACACGAGTGGGAAGACTTCAAAATATGTGTAGAAGATCCCGTATACCAGCTCCGTGTAAAATGTTGTATATAGAACCACCGAATGCAAATGTTGATCTCCCAAGGGATTGATGAGAGCGTCGAATGCAACCCCTTTCATGGAGAGTTTGGCTTGGTCAAGCTCTGTGTGCGCTCAAATAGACTCATTTCCGGTTGCTCGTCACAGCCTCTATGCTCTCCGAAGAAGGATCGTTGAAGCGCGTGTCTCCGGCAATGCAAGCAGTATTATAACCAAGACAGGTCCAGCAAGCAAGAGCATCTTCCATTGCGACCAACCCAAACCATTCACGGGGACACTGAAGGCTACGAAGAGTAGACCAAGTGAAGGTTCCGGCGACCCGACACCTGCCCAGATTCCAACAATGTAACAGACTTTGCTAGGTAGAAAGATGTCCTCTAACGTTGCTCCTCCGGTGGCTAGGCATGGCGATCCGAAGAAGCCCAGCAGAAATCGTAGAACCGATGGTCCCGCAAACTTCTCGCCAACGAAGTTGTGATGAGAAGGATCACGAAATTGCTGAATGTCACATTTATAGCCACCGTCCGGCCGACTACGGGAATCCTAGTAAAGGTGTAAATCCCCTCTAAACCGTCTTTAGCATGAAGGAATGTCCGCGGAATCACTAAGCGGCGCAAAAGGCATAGAACCATAACCGAACCCGAAAATGTATATCGCGATTCCCAAGGAAGCCGCCGTCAACCGCACACCAAACTCTTTCATGACGCATGGTTCCGGTAGGGTGTATATCGGGGCTCCAAAATAGAACGAGAACGTATAAAAGTTGGTCCAATGTTAGCGCCGGTTCCTAAAGGGAGAGTTGAATTGGCCATTATCATATTAACAATCTAATCAGGTACTTCTTTACATTACCACAATTCTATTGATTTTATGCGTCCTCTAAACGATCGAACATGAGCATGGCCCCAAGAGACAAGATTTCCCCTCCATACCTACAGAATACCATCCAACCAACACCAAGCCATCTTGCGTTCTGGTCAAACCCAAACCTGGATCTCCACCATTCCATTGCCCAACCATATTCTTAGATCTTAGATCACCTCCGTTACCAAATTCAGACTCGTTCTCATCCTTCCGAATTCTATCAAGCTCCAGGCCCCTAGTCCCAATGCTTGTAACACCTCCTCGAATTTAATATTCTCATCTGAATATGACAGGATATAGGTCCCGCTGGCAAATCGAATTGTTTGGCCGAGAATGGACTTGCGAAGCATGTCCACTTTGATAAAGTGGACAGCGTAACCAATCGGAAGTAATACGATTCGACTGGGAGTTTTCAACCGCCCTACGACTCGGTTTGTTAGTACGATTATACGATTACTAGAGGAGCAGAGGGGACTACGAGTCGTAGTCGGTACGAACCAATTCACTGTACTTACAATACGATTGCCAAGAATCAGTTCGTAGTACGATCAGATGGGGCGGATTTTATGTGATTAACTAACTCACTAAGCTCACTAGCAACCAGCCTACAATAAAGCTAATTCTTTGCAGCTGTAGCGCTTGAATTGTTGCTCCACTAAGGAGATTCCTTTTAGCTGGTATGGAGAGGAAATCAAGGGCTATCTTGAAAACAGTAGGGTACTGTAAACGACCAATCTGGAGCCACCAACCAAGTAGATCTGTATACATTAAACAGGTTATGAGATAGACAATGCAAAAGTAGGTGATTCCTCACTGTTTTTTTCATACAATTATACTAAGAGGCGATACAGAAAACTCTGCTAGTTGCACTGCCTATAGCCCTTGCGTGCTCTGTACAACGCCGACGACCTCACCTCAGGCCTCACCTCAAACCTCACCACCAAAAAAAGCCTATACAAGTCGTAATACGATATACTTTTCAGGCTTAAGTACGATTCAATACGACTCAGAGACTCACTACGACTCTACGATGCACGTGATCGTAACGTATCGTATTCTACGAATCGTAGTCCTTCCTGTTGGTCACGCTGAAAGTGGATGAGAGTAGAAGCCGCCCTTAAAAGGAATCAGGCAACGTTAAAATATTCAGAAGATGTGAAGCTAGGAGGAGCACCAGAGGCATGAGGAACTGGATTGAATTGATTGCTAGAGGAGTCCTTTGTAGGAGTCTATATATATGCGAAATAAGTGGGTAAGTCTTGGCAACATAGACTATGGTGAGATGCATACGACTATGGTGACGACGCATCCGACCATGGTGGCGACCCATTCGACTATTGTGTGACTACTGCAAACAGAAGACATATCTAGTATGTTATGGTATGGCAGGCAACACAACTCCAATGAATTTAGTCTTACCACTCGTTCTAGATTTAAGTAGAACTTGACCAAGAGATTGATTCTACTGCAAATCAGACCATCTTCTATTGTACATTCTAACATGCAGCAAGTGGCACTGTCTAACTCCACCAACCGCCGACGGCATTAAAAGTAGATCCCACTATCCACCTATGACTGAATTCGAGGCCAATTTAAAATTTTGCAGAAATCATTATCCCTCACTTATGAGTTGCGGCCGATTAGTCAATTCGGAAACTGCTGACTGTTGAAGGCTGATTAATCGGTGCCATTCATCCAAGTCTGCGGAGTGTTTTGAACAAAGACGATACATGCTACCAACCAGCCCGGAGCCGAATGAATCGCTCACTGTACCCCGAGATTTCGCTCGGAATCTATTGTTAAGCCACATCCCTTCCGTATGAGCCTTCCACACATGCAGGAGGCTGCGCAACTAACCTGTTCCCTTTGTGGGAAGTTATTCGATAAAGGTACGAAATATCAAAGTCTGACTGGAAATAGTCAGCGCACATCTCATCTAAACAGCCAGTAGCCACAAGAGACATGGGTGCTATTGTCGCTCAAAGCAACTCCGGCCAAAGTCCTCCCGAAAGCGATCCTGCACCATGTGTGTACGTGCTAATGTTAGATGCGACTCAAAGTGTCCCAGTTGCTCCGGTTGCATTTCTCGCAAGATCTATTGTCGGTATGGCGAAGAAGCCTTGCGTAATCTCCAAATACCATCCGCAACTACCTATGAAGCTGCGAATGAAGATGATATCGATATCTCTGGTTTGATCACCCTTCGGCCTAGCACTCCCACTGTAGGACTCAATGAAATAGAACGGCTGCGTCCAGATTTTTATATGCATAGATTTGCGGAAGGAACCATTTAGAGTCCGGGAGAACTAATTGAAGGGATAAACATGTTCTCTCAATTGGCTTCGCCGATCTTCGACATCGGGTCCGTCACCCCACAGTCCTCGAAAAAGGATCCCTCCAGACGTTTCCGACCACATTGAAAGATGCGGATCTAGAGACCCAAATGCTAGGCTCCAATACTATGATCTACCCGTTCCCTATGGATTTCTCCAAGTTGCCCACAACCAATTTGTCCGCATGGGGTTCCGCGAGGCTAATTACAGCGAGGAAAATGCCCAAACCAGAGAGCCAAATGAGCGCAATGTTCTTGATCCAAATTATCGGATAGTTTCCACATATTATGTTGAGGAAGGAAGCTTTCCCTCCCTTTATTCACCGAAAATGCTATTCAAGTACTACTGGCAAGGAAGGGGGGCTGCCAGAGATGTTGGTGAATTGTATGACTCTGGGGCAGATGTTCACTACTAGAACCAAGGATACTAAGAATGTGCTGTGGAGAACTATTCAATTGGAGTATGAGCGGCTATGGCTGGATGTATGTAACTTGCAGTCGACGTTGATTTGTACCTGCTGACAGGGAAAAGCACGATACGCCCTCAAACCATGAGCTTCTTGCATCGGTGCAAGCACTTTATTGATGGAGAGCTTGAACAACCCGATTTTGACGTTCCGCTACTACAATCACTCAATGTAAGCATATTCTCACAACTTTCACGCGACTTAACTAACTTAGAATCCACTAATCCATCTCCACCACGCTCGCAGATCGGATCGGCGGGGTCGAACTTAAGAACGCGGCATTGTTTGACCAGCAGATCTGGCAGGACTGGCTCTTTGACGAGTCTCGGCGTCGGCGGGTCTTCACAACATCTCGATCCAATCCCCTCTCTTAAGTTCTAACACAAATAACCTTTCTCAGTGTTGTCACAATCGCGCGCATTATGAACCTAGCAATTAATCTCGACCATGCAGTCACCTGTATTTCCCTCGAAGGCTTCATCCTGGCACCACTGCCAGCAAAAAAGACAATCTGGGAAGCGCCGGATGCAAAGCAATGGCGAGCGGAACTCGACCTCACTATTCAGGCACGGGAGATTTTTGGATTAGCAAAGACTAGGAAAGTGGTCAGGTTACAGCAGCTCTCGGATAGGATAGTAGCAACGCCGGTGGAATGGGAAGAATAGTATACGATGGCTGGCAGATTTGGACCGGTAGTTATGCTTGCTGCACCCTTATGTGTGAGGTTAGATTGAAGTATTGCCCTGGCGATGCCGAGGTTTATGATGTAACAGGAGTTTGAACAGGCATTCCGAGACGCTGGAAAAGTCGAACGTAATCTCCAAACCCCAAGTCGAGTCTTGTCCGATTTCCATCGCCGATTGCGTCACAGCGGTCGTTCTCTATAGTGCACGGCCTCTCGTGAGCTTCCAAATGTTCCCCGCAGCCACGATTAAAAGTCGGAACAACTTCGTACATCGGCGAAAGTACTCGATAAGAATGGGGACATTTCAGAAAGACTCCGCATATCTAATCATCATGTTTTCACTCAGCGTTGTTCACTTTAAGCCTTAGTTCAACTGGATATCGTATGAAGTCGAAGCACGCCATTGTTGTACTCACACATCAAATCAACATTTCTGTAGTGGAAGAAATTTTCACCCAGCTAATTTCTCAGCGTCCTTTTCAATCCTTCCATACACAGGCGCACTCCCTCAGTCAATATGTACACTCCTTCCCCCTACTTTACCAAGAAATGACACACAACTAGCTACCCCTCCATCTCCCCTTCTCAGCCCTCCCTTTCCCTCACCGGAGAGGACATCGTCATTACAGGTAGCTAATCAGGCATCGGCGCACGTACAGTTCGCTCCTTCACTGAAGCCGGCGCCACGCACATCGCCATCCTCGACCGCACTGAAAGCAAACTCCACAGTACCTCTTCTGCCATCGCAGCGATCTTCACTGCAGTGAAAATCTGGCCATACGTCGTCGATGTCACGAAGAAAACCGAAGTTGGCAAAGCCTTCACGGACTTCGCGTCCGAAGCCGGTACCCTTGACGTCCTAGTCTCCAATGCGAGCTATGGAGCTCTCGACCCTCCTATTCGCCTCGCAGACCTCAATAATTCGTTCTCAGGCTTTGGTGTCAGCCTCAAGGGCGCGTTCATCATCATGCGGGCATTTCTCCACTCTGCCAAAGACGCGGCCTTGCTCAACGTGTCCGTCCTAGCGATCCTGCAAGGGGCATCAGTGAGTGCGTACGCGGTGAGTAAAGCGACTTCAATACACTTCTTTGGGATTGTGCAGATAGAGAGCCCGGGGCTGAGGGTTGTTAGCGTGCATCTGTGAAGTGTGGATACAAAGATGAGCTGAAGAGTGGGGTGCCGTGTCCGGATGGTGAGTTTAAATGTCTCCTTCTATTCCATCTTTTATTTCTGGTTGTCGCTTTTTTCAGGATGGAGACGGACATGTGGATGTGATGAACGGTGCTGATTTGGCGATAACTTCTCCTCCGGACGACTTCATGGTCTGGCTTGCTGGCCCTGAGGCAGATTTCCTGAAAGGGAAGCTTGTGTTTACGAATTAGGATGTTGGCGAGTCGAAGGAAATGAAAAGGAGATTTTGGGAGGGATGACGCTGCAGATGTGGATTGATAGGTTGGCGAAGGAGCATGCCGGTGAAGTTATCAATGAGGCGAAATGGGGGCCGAGGAAATAATTAGTAGCTAACAGGTCATTTTGTATTATCAGATCTAAGAAATAGATGTACTGATACTCGCGAATGGAAATAGGAGACTATATTGTATTTCAGACGAGAGATCATGGAGTGGTAGAGAGCATTGCCAATGCTGATGCCACCGGGCCTGAAAATCCACCACACTGATATTCCGCCGCGGCAGTCTTTGAGCCTACCCCATAGCGGTCTAAGTTAAATGATTCGTACCTCCTATATATATCCCTCCCTATATATGCATTATAATATATGCAATAGCTGAACCCTCCGGCCAGCTGAAGCCACCTCTCCCCAACCTCTCCATGGCTCCACGAGCAAGCCTTACACCCTGACACGCGCTATCGCAGCTCCACACATCATCGATGTCCCATCCCAAGACTGGTAGCGGCTAGTAAATTCTCCGCGGCCGAGTACTCCGCTCTCCCGCTTCTTCATACCCGCTTTTGTACCTCCTAGCGGAACGGCTGCCTACTGCTCCCACATTTTTCTTTAACTGCATGCAGCTCCTTTCCACCGTTTCGTCCGATATCGCCCAATTGATGAGTGAGCTGATAAATGGGTTCGGACCTATTGCAAAAGTGCTATGCTGCATGCACACAACGAGAAGAAATAGCTTCATCTGTAGAGGTTCTAGCTTTGGCGCTCTAGATCATACCCTGGACGCTAACAGATCCTTCAACTTCCAGGAGAATTTCTTCGACAACGAAGAATACGCGTTACCTTGTCCGAATTCAATAGTTTGTTCGATCTGTTCAATGCGTACACGAATCTTAATTTGCCAAGCTTCGTACTCTCTGCCCTCAAAGACTCCTAAATAGGGATATTTCACGAGACATACGGGTGAAGCACTGCAGCTTCAGTTACTGAGAGAATCGAAACGGCGGCCTCGAACTAATTCCACTTGAGTTCTTCATTCCACCTATTTCGGCGGTCTAATGTTGGCCCTAAATAATTGGGTTGTAAAACCTAAACTTGTTCTTCGGGTCCCAGATGCTCTTCAACGACTTGAGCTTATCCATCCTCCACTGCTCATAACCATACATCTCCGCCCGGCTCTCTTCACCCATTGCATAGTTGACATATGTATGCCTCTTCCCTCCTGCGGCGGTGACACCCGAATACATGGCGTCCTTGATCTTGGCTGCGTAGGCCTCTGCGTCCGTGGCATCCTGCGGATTTGCTCCTTCCCACCAAAAGATTGGTGTTGTAAGGATGGGGTTGGCGCGTTCCTCAGGAGCCAAGGCGGTGGTTTTCGCATCCACGGCACGCACCCCATTCATCCCGTACGATTCTGTGAGTATAGCCGATGTTGAAAATCGCGGGTCCGCAGAGGCTTGGGCGAATACATTAAAGGCCTTGCGGAGCCCGGCAGTATCCCAGGATGGAAGCGAAATTCCGGAGCCGAAGATGTTATTGTCTTTCCTGCACACCGGATTTTCTAGGTTGTTGCCGGTCACCGTATAGAGCTGAACGTAGTTGACGTTGGTCGTGACCGTTGTTACAGCAGGACCAATGGCCTTGAATGGAGCGGCATATTGCTCAGCTTCCGCTTGAGTGCCTTCGTAGGAGAGGGTGTAGGCAATCACTGGCTGTACCACGAAAGTCAATAAATGCGAAGCAAAAAGGTCGCACAGCATTGCCCCTGAGACCACTCTAGGAAATAGGAAGACGAACCTGGGCTGCATCGATATCAGGAATGCGAGTTATAGCCCCCGCAAGCACCAACTTCGACGGTCGGGTTGCAGAGGGAGCGTCAATCTTGTTCACAAGACTAAATAGCGCCTCGAGTTTATCGCTCTTGTAGATCAGGGAATAGACTGTCCATTGGTTTCCCGCTGGAATGTCATACACCTTAACGACGAAGCTCGTCACGATTCCGTAATTGTGACCAGCCCCTCGCAAGGCCCAGAACAAGTCGGCATTTTTAGATGCAGAGACATCGGTCACAGAACCATCCGCAAGCACGACACGGGCAGAGACAAGATTGTCGAGCGCGAATCCATGTTGACTTTGAAGCATGCTGTGGCCTCCGCCAAGAAGTGGTCCAATCACCGACACACATTCACAAAGACCCGTGACTAGTCAACTGATGTCAGCTTTGCCGTATGTATCTTGAAAATGAGTCGAAGTTATACCTGCTTGCTTGCTTTGGTTAAAGAGTGCACTCGTGGCTTCCCACTGCAGAGTACCTCCTCCAATAGTTGCGGTCTTGCCATCCTTGCTTACAACACTCGTGTTCAGCTTGCGCATGTTGATTTGAATGCCACCTTGAAGTTTGTTGAGCGTTTTCGTCCAGCCATGAGTCCCAGAAACAACCAAGAAAGGAATACCGTTGGAATTCGCAAATTTGACCTTGACAAATCAGCTCAATCTTCTCGCGAACGTACAATGAATTGACGTACCGTTTTCTGGACATCTGACTCGGTAGCAACCTCAACAACGACGAAATAACCTGGGTTGACCCTTGGGTATGAACCTCGAGCAATCACTTCGTCCCATAAAGGATTGGATGGCAAGATAATGGTTGCATCCTTTGACAGCTGCTGGCCCAAACTCGTTGCGGTTTGCATAAGGTCTGTTGATCGCACAAGGGGGTTGAAGGAAGGAAGAATCCCTCCGAGAGCGCCATGTAGGCCACCGAGCAACCACAACGCAAATGTGAGAAAGACAAGCATGATTGCAATTGTCACACTGCGCCGATTCGAAACGGGACAGGAAGGGCACAAAGTGGGCTTGATTGGCTGGGCTTGAGATTCCGAGCGAGGATGCAAAAAGCGAGGTGAACGGCCAGCTTGGCTCCACCACTGTGCTGGAATTCGTCCTACCAAGCAAGAGAGAGTGAAGATGCGCCTGCAGGAATTGGCACGAAGCAGGCCCGAGCAGATATATTCTGCTGCGAGTCGCGTCACGCCGCTAAATTACCCCACGAATTGAGGCTTCCAGGCCGCTTCCTTCGAGCTGAACAGAAATAAGTACCTAGAGCTCGGAAGGGAAGTCCCGGAGATGACCTCTCCTTTTTGCGTCCCCGGATGGGTGCGAAGAGGAGGATTGAAATTCCAAGTTAGGCACTGTGGCTTTGGTGGCACAGCAGGGGGCACAGCAAGTTCTCTGCAACCTGGGGCGCTGTCATCAATCCGACACATGTCAGCTTCCTTCCAAACATGTCGTGGTGTATTTGGCATTCGTCATCTGCGGTGTTTGATTGGGGAGACTTGCATTGACATGATGAAAGGAGCTCGAAGGTTTGAACCGGGGATTCTAGTGGATGACAAGCGGATCACCGATTACCATTCCACCGGGCCGGTAAGGCGCGGGGCGGCAATTTGGAAGTTCAGGAACCACTCACGATGATATCTCTTATCCTTACTGCTCGCGGGGAAGTGAATTGCGTGTTGTCGAAAACCCAAGAGGATCTTTACGGTATCCCTCCAAGGATGGTGTGAAGTTTCTTCATTGAACTTGATTGGTTTGCAAAGTTCCTGTTCGGAATTCATGCACCAGCCGCCGTGCACAACATGCAAAGCAAGTTCTCGCCTCGGGGAAGCGGCGACGCCAACCGCGTTCAGGGAACCGAAAGAAAAAAGCTAAACCTTAACCTTTCTCGCATTCGCACAGTCCTCCTCCTCCTCTGCTCCACCTTGGTCCGTTCACCCTCCGAATACCGAACGTTGCCAAGCCCTCGATCACTAGGATCAGACTGCGCTTTCAATTTTTGGGACTATTCCATGTACAAAGAATTTCCACATCTCGCCCAACAATTCGTCAATACAAAGTACTCCGCGTTGGGGCGTTGAAATGCACAAACACCTCAACTGCAAAGGAGGGAATATCCCGGCAAGGTTGTGCGTTGAACTTCGTCTGGCGTGAAGAAAAACGTGGCTCCTGCTTCTTGGCAAGCCTTTCATCAAGCCCTTTCATCCTGTTTCATGCAGCGAACAGGTTCCCTTTCGCGGAAACTGCGGTTGGTACCAAAGAACGAGGTGAAAATCTAGGAGTTGCCCTGTCAGGATTGTAACAGCCTCAGGGTCCGCACCCTCAAACTGGGTTTCGGCCCGAATCCAAGCCTTGCTCAGGGTCCTATCAAGTTTCTAATGGCTCGACTGCGATTGAGGAACGAGAGCGAACCTGTCATCCCCAGCCGTTCGCTCACGACACTTATACCTCGATTGCGCGGCCGCTAGCGCAAGGAGGAATCAGATCATTCTTACCTCCATCTCATCCATTGTCAATCTTCCCCAAAATTCTCTACCATGGCGACACCGCAGCCGGGCCTTCAAATCGGGCCCCTGGCCTCAACCGTCGAGGTTGTAGGCTTCATCGCTTTGACAGGCGCTGCTTGGTTCAACGGTGCCGAACTTCTGTGGACCATCTTTTTGTCTTTCCAACGATGGCGCGGTCGGTACTTCTCCTGCCTAGTAATCGCCTCACTGGGCGTTCTCGTCTACCAATCCAACGTCTTCCTCATGATCTTTGGAACGAATGTCAATTATTATGGTGTCATTGCTTCGATCAATATTGGTTGGGCGGCGATGGTGACGGGTCAGTCCCTCGTGTTATGGTCTAGACTTCATTTGGTTTGCCGTAGCCAGGTCAAGTTGCGACTTATCTTGTATATGATCATAGGAAACGCAGTGTGCCTTCATATTCCACAAACTGCTTTTTCCCTTGTTGTAAGCATCCCGCAACTTCATTCCCATACACTGCAGGGATCTACGATGGACCTAACATTCACCTCAGGCCATCAAAAATGGCGTTCTTGACCCAACCTACAAACCGTTCGAACTCATGGAAAAAATTTCCATTGCCCTCTTCACTGCCCAGGAGCTCATCGTCTCAAGTGTCTACCTCATGGAAACAGTGCGCATCCTTCGCGTCGGCGAACTTGTTCAAAAGCGCAGCAACCGGCGCAAGATCCAGCTCCTCTTCCTCGCAAATGTCGCCATCATCTGCATCGATGTCATTACCATCACTCTCGAATTCCTAGCCTTCTGGGGTGTGTGGTGCAGCTTCAAGGGCTTTGGATACAGCGTCAAGCTCAAGATTGAATTTGCGATTCTCAACCAGCTGCGCGATTCCGTCAAGCAGTCGACGTCAAGCAGTCGGTATGGCCAGGCTTCAGGCCAGAGTATCAGTCTTTCTTCATACGGCAGATCGAGGAAGGGATCGAAGCCATCGGCGGTTGTCCTGGAGAGGCAGAAGTTCGAGGAGATCGACGATCAAGATCTAGATAAGATTGTGAAGACGACGGAGTACTCGGTTCGGCACGATAATCACGCGACTACGGCGCATTCTTTCGCGCTTCCGATTCAGTCGACAACGCCAGGCGCAGATCGCGGTGGGGAGCCCCACAGAATGCCCTCAAAGTCGTCATCCGAGGTCGAGTTTGCGAGCAAGGGGTTGTAGGCCTGCAAAGCTCACAAGTTTTCTGCGCCGTGTCAATGGATAGAATCCGGAAATATTCTTGACGAATCGCTCAAGGTGGCGAGAACTGTCAACCAACACTGAGAGGCTCACTGCCCCCCGTAGCTTGTGGTATTTGGGAGTTTATGTAACTTAAGAGCTTCACACCAGTGCCACCGATGCTGCATAACTTGTGTCTAAAGTTTGCGCCAGTCTTACACCATGAACGAACCGTCCCACGAGTACTTCGAATGTTTGCACTTGGAACGAAGGCCGTCAGGTCTGTTGTTCGATTTGTGGGACTTCATGGCGTGTAGGATTGAGTTACTTCCAGGTTCTTCGGTTAGACAATACGCAGCTCTTAATTTGAGCTTCAAAGAGGCATTCATTCGACCCTGCCTGTTCACGAATCTGACACCGATTGGTTCCTTCATCGTTAGCTGAATGTTAAATCCTACTCCTGATGATAATTTTCGCTCAGCTCGTCTAATCGCATCTTCGCCAATCCTACTTGCAAGCGCAACACTATACTTTCTAAAGATTCTCGCACTCGTGGCGCGAAGTTCAACGCTCGGAAATAGCGAGCCGATGCTTGCGCCCCTTAGCAAATGGGACGTTCGAGCCTGGCGACCCTGGCTTGAGGTTGCCTTCCGGCTCCTTTCCAGGAGAGTAGGTATTCTGCAGGTGTGTTCCGGGATAAAACACCGCGGAGGATAATGGGCCTCATCTGCGCAGTTTTCTCCACCCAGTGCCAGTATTTCGGGTTGCGACGCGTCGCGCTGATGCTGATCAGGATCAGGATCTTTGGTGGAACCGCGGTCCTCTCATTCTCGACGGCTAATGTCTGACCGTGTGCATTGGTCTAAAGAAAGAATGGGAGGACGGAGTAGGGGTGTAGCATCTGATTCGTCAATTCCCCGACACGTCCTTTCATCAATCTGGGGAAACAGTGCGAGTAAACTCACGCACTTAGCTCTGTGCTACCGAATCTCGAATTGGGGTCTACTTGTAGGGCTTTTTGAAACTATGGTTGAAATTTGAGGAGAGCTATCGCGAATGTCTAGGCATTGGCCATGGGCCTATTTCCTACCAACATGAAAATGAATCCATTTCCGAGAACCACTGCTATGGTTATGGCGTCGATCTAATCGATTTCCAAACTCGCAAAGGCGAGTTTTTCACTAGATCCTACCTTCTTCGGCTTCCGAGTCTCTCTTTAAGCCTTAGGTGGTTGCGTCCACCATCTCGTCCATGTCGGTATAGAATTCGTTAAATGCTTGGGCAACTCTCCTATGCTGCTTCAGTCGAGAGTGATCTGCCATTAATTAAGCGCTATGAAATAGGAGAGTGACTATGAGGGTATTCCTAAAGACAAATTGTGGAGTGATAGACAAAGTGCTGGTGTACTTGAAGACATTTCTTATACCTTGCTAATAAGTGAAGTCACGTTCCGCCAACACTTGGTGAGCCTCGTCCCAAATCATCCATAGTTGGAAAAATGCTTTGTTACACACATAAAGCGGGAAAGTTTTTAGGTCTAAACCGAGATCTTACGTCCTTCCACCAGTCCAGCTCCAAGCTCGAAACATCATATCAGCCCATTGAAGCGACTCGCTCCACACCGTTCGATGTGTATCTTCGTGGAACGAAGGGGACGTGATTCTTTGGTGCGTACAATTCCCTTCACCTCGGGTGTCGTAATAGTCACCCAGTAGATATTGCGCATGCCCAACATTTCGGCGAGAGGAAGTCCTTGGAGCGATTGCATACTTGCATTGTTACTTCTGGATCGAACGTCCACTAGACGCTCCCGGTGGGCGAGATAATGATTACGGTACTGGATCCTGCTACCTCAAATGGCTGGTAACCATAATGCTATGTGCGGGGGAAGAGCGAGAGTTGAAATTGTTAATGGATTGCCATGGAAAGATGCCTGAATGCCTAGAGCCATGTCCATGTCCATGAAGCGGACAGCTTCAGGAGTACCGATAAGAATGTTTCCTAGAATAGGGTCTATGAGGTATATTAGAAGTAGGCCCTAAAGAGCATCAGCTGTATCTAGTAACACTACAGGAAGCATCAGACCTACGTAGAACTGACATATTTCGCTCCAGACGCACGAGCCTCTGCGACATGGATCTAAGGTGAACGGTAGTACCGAACGGCACCATAGGAGACTAGTGCAATGAATAAAAGCACCTCAAAATGGCGGGGAGAATGGGACCAATGTGTCGAACCTGGGCGAAATGACTTGAAGGCTGAGAACGTCTCTCACACTAGAGACTCGACCACTTAGCTCCACTAGTCGAATACTTCAACTCGCCCGCGCCGCAAAGGTCAGCTGTAGTCACAGTCAGCATCGATGGCCGAATTTACACTGAGACAACGTATAATCGACTAGCCATCAATGAGTGGTTAATAATTCACCTGAAAAGAATAATTTCTGTGGTTGTTGATCTTATTGACCGAAAGGATCTCTCCAGGCGACGGAATGCTTTGTTCATCGGCTTGACAAGCACGGAGTTAGTAGTTCTGCAATTCCGTGACAATTCCAATTCATTTACCCAGCAATGAAAAAGGAGGATTGATGATGCATCTTTGCCCTGGTGAAGCTGCGGAGACGTGAGGGTGGAGAAGGAAATGCGGCCTAACCAAAAAGAGAAGGATCCACTTGTGCTGATTAATCATGATTCTTATCTCAGCTAGCTCAGCCGGCTGATGAGAGAACCGACAACGCACATACTACCATGCATACTGCTACTCCTAACAGAGTATAACCTAGGGTTAGTAGTTTTAAACCCCTGTAACTAACGTTTTCTCTTATTAGCTGTCTAAAGGACTTTAGTAATTTTTTATATACACAACTAATTTTAACTGCTTAAAAATAAAGACGTGATTTTTAATAGTATAATAAGTATATTATACACAGACTTTAAAAGTTAATACAACATGTAAAACTTTAGTAAGAACATTATAAGCATATTTTAAATAAAATCTAATAATGTCTAGAGTAATTTAAATCTATTTACACATATAACATAACCTTTTTTATAACTAATTTTATGCGTTACTTTAAACCCCCCCCCCCTTTTATTATCTACGCTTATGTATTGCAAGGCACTTATATTTTAAGCGCTATTTATCTTTACTATTATAAACTACTTCTAGCTTCTAGATCTGCTAATTTTATCCTATGCGTATAGTTCTATTGCAGTAGGTAAAATAGTACTAACACTTGCGCAGTAAGCAGTTTAGACACTAAATATTATAAGTATCTTTTTACATATTATCTATGTGTTTATTTACACACTTTTTAATACGTACTGCTAATTATTTGCTGTAGTAGCTACTATGCAGACTAGAGGGCTAGGTTAGCGCGCAGGGAATTAGAGTTTAGGTAGGAGGCTAGCACAAGTACAGCTTGCACTAAGTCTTCTAGCTATCTGCTTAGAAAAGACTACTTATTTAGTGCTAGATAAGGACTATGTAGTGCTAAATTAAGTATATAAACTAGCTAGCATAATGCTTTTTTATGTTAAAGCCTGTTATACTCTAAGTGCTAATGCTTTATAGGATTTAGTATATAAGTGTTCTATAAAGTGTAATGTTTAGTATTAAACACTATTACTTACTTAGGCTATGCAGAAGTTATTAGGCAGTAAGGAGCTACATAAGCAGCAGGTGCGCGCTGTCTGTTAGCTTATGTATAGCCTTAAGGATATAATCTTTATAGCCTACACTAGCTTTAGAAAGAGCATTATTTTACATGCATATTCTATGTTTATAGGCAGCATTACGCTCTAGATTATACTACTGTTAAAGCTAAAAAATAAGTAGTTTAAAGTAATCTACTAGTATCTTAAAGCGCGTCTATATCTAGTTACTAAATAAATAAAAAATGCTAACTTAAAAATATTCTAGAAGATTTAGTAGCTTTTATACACTTATATTTTGCTAAGTTTAGAGCAGGCTGCATTACTAGCGTTTTAATAGCTGTTTACTAACACTATATTCTATACTTAGGTTAGGTTAGTAGCATTAGACAAGTGCTATGTTATATAATAGTAGAAAGATTTTTAGAAAAAGTATTTATAGTTTTATAAGCTTTAGTAGTGTTTATCTTCTAACATAACATTTTTTACTTATACTGCTATGTTTAATAAGTAGACAGAAAAGGCAGTACACTGTTTTAGTAGCTTTAGGCTAGAGGGTCTAGGGATAGGTAATAATCTAATAGGCAGCCTAAAGGTAATTAGGACGTGTGTAGATTACTCTAAAATTATATACACTATTATTTTAATTAATAATTACAGTAAGAGCACATATGCTTAGCTTTTATATATTATTAATTATAAGTTTAGTACTACTAGTTTTTCTAGTAACCTAAAGCTTATCTTAAAGACGTGCGTGTTTATTAACAGTTGCACTTATATTGCTAACTTTATAGGGCTCCTCTAATCTTGTCTTGTGTTAGATAGACACTACTCTATAGCAGATGCTAAGAAGGTAGTCTAGGCGTATACTAGTTAGGTTGCAGACGCAGACTAGCAGGAGATATATTAAAATTTTAAAGGCGCTAATGCCTCTATCTAGATTATTGTCTGTACAACTACGCTTAAGATAAGTATAAATATCTCTAGAATTAAGTAGGTATACTAATAAAATATTTTAATTACCTAAGATATAAGTAATCTAATGCAGCAGTTTAGTTATAGCGCGCGTAGTTATAGTAAGACTGCAGTTACTATATTATTTATCCCTTTTTATATGTTTAACTGTCTTAGCACTAATCTAAATGCAAGTAATAGACAGGCTAGCAGCTAAGTAAAGTAAAAGATAAAAAAAAGGCAACCTATAAAAGCAAAGAATTATTATAAGATAAAGCCCTTTACATTAAGGCAGATAATAACTATAACATTGCTAAATTAGGCATCTGCTAGTAGTAGTTAGACGCCTGTTACTCCTGCTGTAACACTACCGCCTAAGTCTACACCCCTACATAATAAACCTAAATTAGAGGCTGCAGAAGAGAGGGTTAAGAGCACTTTAGCTAATTTATAAAATTATATAGTTACATTTTAGTATAACAGACGTAAAAGTAGACCCCCTAATTAGACAAATAAATAGCTAAACTAATAAGCTAGCATTAAGCTTAAGTAGTAAGACTTAATTAACTCTAAGTATTATTATAGGCACTTACTTTAGTATTTCTAAAATAACCTATTTATATAATTAACATAGTAACTTTTTCTAGAAAAGGTTACCTGTTGCATAGGTTATAATCTAGCACTTATGCTATATTAAAGCACCTTACCTCTGCCTGCTAAAAAGACTGCGCTAACGCTAAAGAGTAAGGCTAGCCTTGTGTTACAGCATATCTAGAAAATATGTTAGGCATCTGCTTTTTAGTACTTTCTAAAAGTTTATAGTGTGTCTAAAAATAACATTTTAGTTCTACTTTTATCTTTAGTGTTTTTTTTATACCTAAACTAATAAAAGCTAGCAAGGCTTGTTACTAGACAGAAGAATATTAAAAGTAATAAAGTTACAGTGCTTATTAAGTCTAGCAGGTATAGCACTAGTAGTGTACAGAATTATCTACTATTAGACTAGAAGTTTATAGAGTTGCATTTAGCATTTATTAAAAGCAAGTTTAAGCATATTATGCTTATAGTATAGAGCAAGTTTTGCAAAAATAACACGCTTCTTAGGATAAGTAATGTCTCTAGGTTGCTAGGTATACACAATGCTACTAGGGCCTTGTTAGGTAGTTATATGTAAGATAACAGTCTAGCTATGCAGGCTATATAACACAGATATTACTAGTAATAGAACTAGTTAAAGTAATATAGTCTACCCCTTAAACTAGTTATAATTAATGTGTTATTTAAGTCTACAGCGTTAACTATAGTACTAGAGTTACTATTTAATAACAACTTTTCTTTATAGAATAATCTCTTACCTAGTAATATTTCTAGTTATTAAGGCAGTTTTTTTATAGTTATAGTATACTTTTTTAGTTTAAATAGTTTATTTGCAGCAGCCTCTGCTACATTTAGCATACTATACTTACCAGGTGTGGAGTTGTATATGTTGCTAAAGGACAGGCAACGCGCAGCTATAATTATAGGGAGCCCTATGCTAGCCTAGGTCCTACACACGCTAACTAGTAGTAGTTACTACCTATTACTGCCTAAAA